GGTGGCAGGAACTGACTGGTTTAAGCCCTCAGCACTGGCCAGGGTCTGCGTTAGCAGGAAACTAGACTGACAGAGCAGCACGTTGAACTCAAGTACTCTTGACAAGGGATATGTACATCTTCCTCTTTTTTTTTTTTTCAATGTTTATTTTTCTTGAAAAGAGAAATTTATGGAGAGGAAGAGAGACTTATTCTGTCTGCTGGTTCACTCCCCAAGTGGCTGCAGCAGTTGGAGCTGAGGTGATTGAAGCCAGAGCTTCTGGGTCTCCCCTCTGGGTGCAGGATCCCAAGGTTTTGGGTCCTTGACTGCTTTCTCAGGCCACATGCAGGGAGCTAGATGGGAAGTAGAACAGGCAGGATAGGAACCGACACCCATATGAGAACCCAGTGCATTCAAGGCAAGGATTTAGCTGTTAGGCTGCCATGCAGGGTCGGATATGTACATCTTAACTGGCTTCTTAGTTGCCTGGTTAAACATTCATCCCTGAGTTTATTACAAAAAAGGAATTCTTAGAAGATTGGGCTCTTAGTACATATTTTTTTAATGAAGTCAAGTGAATTGTAATGATTAATGCATAAAGACATGCATACATGCCCTTAAGTTGAACTATTTGAAAGTAAGTTGCAAGCAGCATGACATTTTACCTCTAAATACTTGAGCCTCCATCTGGGAAGGAAAATGTAGCCCTCAACATTGACCTTGTGGCACATGGCAATGTCTGAGACATGTTAGTTGTCATAACTGGTACATAGAAAGTCTGAACTGGCTTCTGATGGCTAGAGGCCAGGAACGCTGCCACTAATCCTGTGATGTGCACGATGGGCCACACCAGGAAGAACCATCCCACCCAAAGTGGCAGTGCTGAGGTTCCGCCATCTTGCATCCCTCTCCCTTGCCATTCCCAGCAGCTTCTGTTCCCTCACCTGGCTTAGTTTTCTTCAGAGCTAACACGTGATTGGTTTTGCTTGATGATGTTTTTCTCTTCCCCAACAATGAAGCCTGTCACCTCCCTGGGAAAGGAAGCAGTGCCTATCGGAGGCACGCAGTGTGTTTGTGTTGGTTGGCTTGCCCAAGTCATGCAGCGCTTTCCAGCTCTTCCTGTTACTGCCTGGTTCCTGCCCATTCTCCTGGCAGGTCATTAATTCCTTCCTGCCCCTGGATTTGCAATGCCAATACAATCTGGGTCAAGATTTTTAAAAAGAGATTAATTTGATAGAATTATAAAGAAAAAGGGAAGACAGATCTTTCATCCTCTGATTCACTCCCCAGTTGGGGAATGATTTAGCCAATAATACAGGTAGCAACAGTCTGTCCTCCCCTTAGCTACTTCCCAGTAACACAAATGGTAAGTTATTCCATCTAGTAATTTGAGCTTAAATGAGTTTCAAAACAACACACAATAGCTTAATCCCAAACTTGGTATATTTATTCAATATCAAAAACTTTTTAGTAAGTTCAAGATAACTATTGCACAAATAAAAAGGCTTCAAGCAGAACAACTGCATAATTAAAGATTAATAAAACTATTGAGTGGATTGTTAAATGGGATAGAGTGGTTTTACCAAATACACAAAATGCGATCTATCACTAAATAATTTATGATGGTAACAAAAACCCAATATTAAAAATGGCCAACATGCTTCAAACTGGATGCATTTTAAAAAACTTGAAAGGCATTGCAAGTGAGAGATTTTCCATCCATTGGTTCACTGCCAAAATGACTACAGTGACTGGGGCTGGGCCAGGTTGAAGCCGGGAACCAGAAACTCTCAGTCTTCCATGTGGGTGGCTTTGGGCCCATTTCTTCCATTTCCCACAGGCATTTGCAGGAAACTTGATTGGAAGCAGAGTAACCAGGACTTGAAGTGGCACTTTTGGCGTTAACAAGCAGTGGCTTAGCCTGCTATACCACAATGCCTGCCCCTCGTTTGAACTCCCGATAGCAATGAGTTTAGGAAAGCCCTGGCTCCATTTCTCATCAGCAGTTGTCATCATTGTTGAGTGCAGCAAGAGAAGACAGTACCAACTGCATCAGGGAAGACACGGGGCTGAGACCAAACCACAGATTGCACCACCAGAGCGAGAAGAGCAGGAAACATCGTAGTTATTTTTATTGAAAGAAATGGTGCTGACTGACTCCACACTGTGGCAGAGCCTGCTGGTCCTTTGGGCACACGTGACTGACATAGGAAGAAGTGGGAGCTGGCAAAGCTTGCTCTGTCTTACCCTATGGTGCCCTCTGCCTCTTACCAGGCAGCAGGAGGGTGCTTACCCTGCTCTTGGATTCTCCAGCCTCCAGAGCAGTGAGCTCCATCAGCCCCTACTCTTTACAAACCGCCCAGTCTGGGGTATCCGATCAGCAACAGAAAGCAAACAGACACAGCCCCAGCTAGGGAATTTTTTGGAAGTGCTTGTTCCTGCCAACTGAAATGCTACTGAATCAGAATTTTCTCATCGGGAATGTGGGCACTGGGGATGGAGGATTTAGGTCTAGTGTCTCTTCCAAACCCAGATGTAGGGTAGAGGAGAGCACTGGAACAGCAGGGGGCTGGGCCTGAGACATGATTGCAGGTGTGGTCCATGTGTTGAGATCTCATTAGGCCTTGTCCTGTAATGTGTGGTAAAGGGTTCCTGGGCATACGAGTCAGGTACTGAAACTCCTGGGGGTTGGTGTATGCAGGGATGTGCCTACAGTAGTCATATGGTTGTTTATGGCTCATTACCTTGCAACAGAGTTACTGCTTATTTTAGCTTCTGGCACCATTTGCCACCAAGGTGTGCCAGTCACGCAGTAGCAGTGACTGTGGAATGCCTCTGCCAGCCTCCTGCCTGGTCCTGATGATGGCATGATGACATTGGGTGAAAGTCAGAGGTTGGCTGTGGGTAGTGAACAGAGGGAAAGGCCATGGTGTGTGTGTCTTCCTAGACAGGGGTTTCCTAGACTGACTTGGCTGAAGCTGGAGTTAAGGTCATCTGGGAAATTTGAGGGTGTTCTGGGGTGCATAATGTGGGTCTAGAGCAGGGGGAGCTGCTCAGCTTGATTCTCCTTTCTAAAAACTTCTGCCCTACTTCTCATGCTCAGGTATTAAAAAGGAATAGTGTTTATAAGAAACATCTCACTTCTAAAGCACACTGGGTTGGACCAAGGGTGGTTTCCTGATGTAGGTAGATTCAACCAGGAGCCATAGGAAGACAAAGCCATGTGATCTGAGATGCACAGGAAACCTGGTCCTCTAGCAGCTCCAGCGCAGGTGATGGGAAACATCTTCCTAGGGCCTGTGGACCTGGGCCCCAGTGCTTCCCAGGGCTCAGTGCACCTAGACCTCTGGGTCAGTGTTCTACTGTGAGGTCATCATTTTCTTCTTGCATTCGGCTCCTTGATGACTGTTAGGATTGACCTAGAGTGTCCCAGTTGTTGGAGGAGGTTGGTGCAAGGACACTCTTGGGCTTATGCTAAGCTCCTGGGGCAGGGAGCTGTGTGGACGTTAGTTTGCTGTTTAGAATTTTCAGTGTTTTGGCAGGATCAGGAAGGGGGTGTGTGTGATGAGAATCCCTGGGGGGTGGTTAGGGAAAGGGAAGGTGGAGCATTGTGCATAAACCTAGGGATCCAGGAGCTAGGTCATGTTTATCCTCCACTCTCAGTCTTAGGACATGGGGCAGTTCTCAGGGGTGCCCAGATAAACCCATTTCAAGAGTTGCCACTGGATTTCCGGGACTTATAAGTCCCCAGAATAAGGTGACTTATTCTTAGAGTATAGCACCTTGGAGGTTGGAACTGGCCTCCTGGGCTCTCTTGTGTGGGCTGGGAGTGATGAGGCAGGGCCATGAAACCAAGTGGGACAAGAGCAGCAGCACTGGGGGAGACCTTGAGCTGTTGTGCTGCTCTGAGGTGGGATGTCAGCAGAATGCTGTTGCTTGATAGCTGGAGGAATGGGAGTGCCAGTCTTCACTACCACTTTCTAGTGGGTGGTCCTGGGTATCATTTCACCACTAAGAGCCCCCACTGAGAAGAGCCTACGAGTTACAACTCTACACTGCATAGTGTAGGGCCTGATACATGGCACCTGGTTGAGGATCATAAGACACTCAGCGGAGCAGGGCTGAGTCAGCAGCCAAGGGAAATGCAGTGCTGTGGCTTGGATGTCAGCTGGGGCTCATGTGAGGAAGGGTTGCTCTCCAGGCTGGCGCTTCTCGGAGACTGTGGAACCACTGGGAAGTGGGACCTTAGGTCATGGAGGTGTGTTGCTTGGGAGGAGGTCTTGTGTGACTTCTTGAGTTCCCAAGAGAGGGCTGCTTTAAAAGCCTGGGCTTGGGCCCTCTCAACCTCTCTTCTTTTTGGCTTGCCACATGAGCTTTCCTGTTCTTGGCCATGTACTGGGCTGGGGCCAGGCCTGCACCAGGCCTTCTGCTCCTTTTGAGCCCACCGTGAGCTAAACCTCTTTTGTCTCCCTAAGTAATTGGAAACAACTGAAAGCTAACACTCTCAGCTTTCCTTAAGCCATGGGTGAGAAGCACTTACCTGCAGTGACACACGTGGTTTCTATGGGACAGATACCAGCCTGGGGTTTCTTATGCATTAACCAATTCAATACAGCCAACCATTGTGAGGCCTATTTTATGGATGCAGACACTGAAGCATAAAGTTCCTTGCAAATCAGGCTGCAGGGGGCAGAGGAAGCTTTGAGTCCATACAGTCTGTGTCTTGAGTTAAGGCAAGAGTCCAAAGCTGCAAAAGAACCTTGCCATAGCAGTGACTGCTGGGAGCAGCCTGGGCAGGTGTTGGTACCGTTGCCTGCTGCCCTGACCATGGGCTTCCAGCGCTGGCAGTTCCTAGCTGATTCTTCAAGGTCTTTTTCATGCTCAGACAAGGATTCTGTTAAGTGTCCCCCACCTCCAAAACCTAGCTTTATACTTCTTTTCAACCAAAGGAACTGTGAAAGGTCTCCAATGACAAGCCGATTCTTAGAAGACACACCCAGGTCCTTCAGAACTTTGCCTAGGGTTCTAGAGGACACACCTGTCCCCAGAGAGTTCAGGGACTTTGACACACAGCCTGGAGAAATTCAATGATGACTATAAATCCAGAAACGACCACACCTTCATCTTTGAATGGTCCTCTAGCAACTTCTTGGCGACCTTTTTGAACTTTTTCAAATCACGGACTGACAGGGAATTCAGGATCCTATTCATTTTTTTCAGGAGGGTCTGAATTTTCTGGGCCGTTGGGCCAGGCTCCACCTCCAGGATGGCTGTCTTCCCCATTTCACACAGAAGCTCTGGGCTGGTGAGCTGTGGGCATGTGGAGAGGGCCAGGTGAGGGCCAGTGCTGCCCAGGCAGCAGCTTCCCTCTCTAGGCTCTGGGGTCCTGACCAAACCTTCCACCCCCACCTACCCCGCCCCCCGAAACTTCAGTGCAGGTGTATTTTCCCAGCCCTGCCACCTGTAGCTTCCCTGATACTTCCCTGGATACATTCATTTGACCTGGGCCTTGGCCACATGGATGATGGAGACATGGGTGGATCAAGGCTACAGCCCAACCTGGGTCCAATCCAGAGACTAAGTGGACCAGCAGTGGGTCTGTAGCCAGCCTGGCAGGGCCTGCCTGCCAAAGACGATCTCCTTGGAGCAGTCAGGCTTTTCATGGAGTCCGCTTGTGAATCCCACTCCCCTCCTTCCCCCACTCCTCCACCTCCGGAACCCCAGAAGTATATGTGGATTCTGTTGGGAAGGAACCACCCTCCCCAGCAAGGTCACCTCAGTGCCAACCTCTGCTGAGGAAAAAGGCTCCTGTAGGGAATTAGTACCGGGTAATTGCAGCATGCTCTGTTTGTGTGTGGCACCCAGCTAATGGAATGTCTGCAGAGCAAGGCTACTCAAGCCTTGCAGCAGTCTGCCCTCACCCTGCAGATAGCTGTGAGCTCAGCAATGGGCAAAGAAGGGTGTGTCTTTCCCAGCGCCCTTGCTTGCTCAGCCCTGGCTCTGCCTTCCTGCAGGGCTGCTTCAACTGCCAGACAAGTGATGCCTGTTGACATCTTGACGGCGAGCTTCTTTGATGATGTCAGCTTCCCATGGTGCTTAGAAAGTTGCACAAAAGCATTTGTATGTGGGTAAGAATCAGGTAAGGGCAGACAGCTTCCAGAACATGGCCTAGAGGGTCATGGCATGAACCAGTCCAAGCTTGCACTCACCTGGATGTAGGTGGGTGCAGCTTACCTTATACCTGGTGCCCAGATTGAAACAAATCCGCTTCTGTTCATGAACGAAGGTAAAGATGATGTTATCCTGTCTCTGAATTTGTACTTTGATGTACTGGTTGATTTTCAAGGTGATCGACTGGACCGGGGGTGTGTGCACGTGGATGCCCAGGTTCCACCAGTTCCAAGCCTTCGTGTGCTCATCTTTGGGGAAGTAGTAGCCCAGGCTGTTGCTCAGGCTCAACCTAGATGGGGAGGGCGTGTCAGGGGGCTGTGGGGCTCAGCCTGAGTGCAGCCCTTCTGCAGCAGAGACAGGTCCCTGCCCACAGAAAGGCCTCTGGGGCAGGTGAGGGAAGCTCCAGCTGGGAGGGCCAGCCTGAGCTCCTAGGGTCCTCTTCCTTGACCCCTCGCATGCCACCTTCTTCCCTTCCACTCCTCCCATTTCTTCATCTCCTTCATGCTTTGCATGCCCCTTGGTCTGCCTGAGACGACTTCCCACTCTTCATGGTATGGCTGGCACCTGCTGATCCAATGGGGTCAGTTTCAAGGTCTCCTTCTGATCAAGGTCTCCTGTTTGTTCTCCACAGAATCCTCATTTCTGCTTGCTAATTTCCGTCATGTAATTCCTTAATGTGTATAGGCAATTACAGTAAATACATTCTACGAAGTCACCAGTTCAGTAAATGCAGTCCCTGTAATTCCTAAGGGATGTCTACACCACATAGGCAGAAGCCTTCCTGGTTTTCAGGCACCCAGTGGATGCCTGAGGCTACAGTTAGAACTGAACTATGTATGTATATATTATGTTTTATCACACATACATAAATTCTGTACATATGATACAACTTTCTGTATAAATTGGACACAGTAAGAGATCAGCGATGATGAGTGACAGACAATCACAATGATATAGTAACAAGTGTTATGTGAGAGCTCTCGTTTTCAAAATGCCTTTCTCTATAGTAGTCACCCTCTTCTACCTGTGACTGATCACTGGTAACTGAAACAGCGAAAGTAAAGCAATGGCCAAGGGGGTCGCCTGCGTACACTCAGGTGCCCTTACACATATACATGTCACAAAGATTTAAATCTTGCACCCTAAAGGCAACCCTTCCTGGTAGATTGCTTAAGAATCAAATGACTTTGCTGAGGTAATCACTAATGCATTTCAAACCTATTACCCTGGCCCACGGTGGAAGCTTCTCACTGCCTCGCTATTGCCCCCACCTGCTCCCCCCATCTCCAGGCCCTGGTCCCTATTGTGAGATTTGATATAAGAAGGCCTTGCCCCGTCTCCACTGGGCAGTACACACCGGATGCCCATTGCTTCCAGGTGCTAGCCATCAGTACTTGCGCTATGCTGTTCCCATGCCCTGGAGTTGGGGGTCCGCCCTGTCTGGGGGTGCTGGGCTCCCTTTTTTGGGAGATGATTATGGTAAGGGATACAGGTGGACAAACTCCTCTCTACATGGAGGGCTGGGCTCTGTCCAGGGTGCTGAGGGTATCAAGGATGGAGGACAGAATCTAAGATAATTCTCACTGGGTTTGACTCTGAAGAGGTTAGTAGGAGATGCCATCAACAGGATGTAGCTGCTGTGACTCCGTCATGGGCTTCCCTCTCCCATTACCACCCCAGGGAAGCAGGGGCATGAGGGGGTGTTATTGTGCCCTCTCTGAGTGCAGTAACCTGCACCCGTCCCACATGGTACCCACTCTCTCATTTACAACATGTGGGGGGTCAGAGACAGGACTGGAAACCTGACTCAAGCCACACTGCTTCTCCATGGGCAGGAGGGTTGGGACAGGTGCCTCACACTCACCACACCTCTCTGTTGTCATCGTAGAAGGTGGCATGGCCCGAGTTGTTCACAAGAGCCCGAAGCCACATGTCCGTGCTGTCTTCGAGAATGATGTATGTGAACTTGCTGCCTTGTGTGCATGAGATGAGCAGGGCTAGGTTTCCTGATGGGTAGCTGAGAGCTGGTTAAGGCACAAGCAATCCTTTGGGATGCCCTGGAGAAAGTAGAACCTTACCAAGGGACAGGCCCTCATGCAATCCCACTTTCCAGGCCCAAATCCCAGAGATTTTAGCTATCAATTTATGTCAATAGGAACATCCCAGTGCTCCAGCGGATACTGGATCTGGCCTGTCCCATCAGGAAAGAGAATCTGGAAGACTTTCTTGTTGGGGTAGAGAATTATTCTTCCATCACCTTGATGTGCCTGGAGAGAAAAAACAAACCTATGGTTATGGTCTGAACATCTGCTAAAGGAGCATGGTCCCTCAAGTCTTGTGTTAGTGATTAGTGGATGAATGCTAATGGTTGGTAGATTAGGGGTGGAAATTTGAACTGGTTATGGCATCTAGCAAATGACCTTAGTGTGATGTGTGGATGAGGTCCTTTGGTCATCAAGGGTGTACTTCCTTGGAAGACAATTCTCAAGGGAGAAGGGAGTCTACCAGCCAGTTCTCTCTCTGACTTGGCTCACCATGTGGTTTTTCCAGCCTCACATATGAAGCTGAAATAAACCTTCCTTCCTCCTAAGTAACTCCCCCAGCCAGGTATTGTAGTGAAGCACTGAACAGTGCACCCAGGAGTGAGCACTCAATGTCCTTCCTGAGACAGTGGGGCAGCCGCCTGAGCGTTTGGGCCTCTCACTTCCCCCAGCTCACACCAACTCCCTGGGGACTCTCAGGGCCTCCTCTTTCACTTCTCTTTCTGAAGAGGAAGTCGACCCAGATTCCTGCTGTGTGTGAACATGCTAAGCTATCTTTTCAAGCACCTAGCCTCCTGGCTTACTGGTTCTACTACTTTCCTTGAGCTGTGGGAAGAAAACATGACAAGCTAAGAAGCATAAAGCTAGGCATTTATTCTCTTGGTGTTCTGGAAGCCACAAGTGTGATGTCAAGATGTGGGCAGGTTTAGGGCTGGCTCCTTCTGCAGGTCCTGGAGAAGCCTCATGCCTCACCCCCCTGAACCCTGCAAAGCACAGCCATTACTGATGTTCCAGGCCTGCCTTTGTCTTCATGTGGCAATCTGTGTATCTTCATGTGGCTTACTCCTTACAGGGACACCAGTCACGTTATATCAGGGGCACACTCTGTGCCAGGCTACTGGAACAGGCTACTGGAAGCCTGGAACTCAATCCAGCTCTCCCATGTGGGCGGTAGGGACCCTAAGTACTTCAGCCATCACCTGCGACCTTCCAGGATGTGCATCAGCAGGAACCTCAAGTGCAGCCAGGATTTGAACCTGGGCATTCCAACATGGGACGTGTGTATCTTCTGCAGCACTGCAGTAAGAGTAGATTTTCAGTGTTTGCCTCACAGGCATAGAGTATTTATGTGAGCAACACAAACAGTTGTGGGAACAACTCCTCTCTCAGCTCACTGTTTTCCTTCCTGGCATCTGGCCAGGGCTGGCACTACTGGATAGAACTTTTGTATGCGGCTCTGCCCCCAGATGGAAAATGTGCTCCAAGGGAGTGGAGTATTGCTTTGTGCTTTTCTGCGTCTCCAGCACCAGGAACCACACCTGGACACAGGGTGCTCTTAACACATACCTAGCCAATCCCCACTGCATGTCTCTTTTGTCCATTCAGTGACCACACCCTGTTGTGACCAGTGTTCACTTATGACTATGTTGCATCAGTCTTTACCAATGTAGCATTTGTTTTATTTTACTTTATTTTTACAGAAGCTTTATTTATTTTTATTGAAGTCAGAGTTACAGAGAGAAGGAGATACAGAGAGAAAGATCTTCTGTCTACTCGTTCGCTCCCCAAGTGGCTGCAACTGCCAAAGCTGAGCTGATTTGAAGCCAGGAGCCAGGAGCTTCTTCCAGGTCTCCTAGGTAGGTGCAGGGTTCCAAGGCTTTGAATCATCCTCTACTGCTTTCCCATGCCACAAGCAGGGAACTGGATAGAAAGTGGAGCATGCAGGACATGAACTGATACCTATATGGGATCCCGGTGCATGCAAGGTGAGAGTTTAGCCACTAACCCACCGGGCCCAGCATGCTTTATATGTTAGAGCAGGTCACAGTAAAACTGAATGGGGAGCATAGTAATTCCCATAAGCTCCTGGTCCCTACACCCACCCGTTCTCTGTTGCACTATCAAGATCCCACCAGAGAGGCACATGTGTTACACTCTACAAACCCATAACAAAGCCAGTAGATTTCGTGCTCTGCGGGTTTGGACAACTGTACAATACCACGTGTCTGACACTGTAGTATCTTTTGGAACTGTTTCACTGCCCTGAAATCCTCTGTGCTATGTCTCACTACCCCACTCCAGCTCAACAACTCCAAAGTTGACTAATCTACAGAGGTTTTTTTCTTTCTGTGCTTTCCAAAATGTCATATGGTTGAGAGTATACACTATGCAGTGTTTCCAGATTGCTTTCTTTCATTTTGTAGTAATGCATTTCAGTTTCCCTCTTGTCTTTTTATAACTTGATATAATTTTTATTTATGTATTTATTTTTTTGGTGCTATGTGAGACACATTCCATTGTGGTGCAGTGAGTGAAGCTGCTGCCTCCAACATCAGCATCCTATATGAGCCCCAGTTTCAGTCACCGATGCCTTACTTACAATCCAGATCCTGGGAAAGCAGCAGCAGAAGGTTTAAACGCTGAGCTACTCCCACTCATAGGGGAGATCTGGATGTTCGTAGCTTCAGTCTGGCCCTATCCGGGATGTTGTGGATTTGGGGACCTGAACCAGAGGATGCAAGATTGATCTCTCTCTCTCTCCTGTGTGTGCATGTGTGTGTGAGTGTGCATGCATCCCTCTGAGTAACTCCGCTTTTCAAATAAACTTAAAAAATTTTATCTTGTGGATATTTTTATGCAGACTATTGGGGGAGGGATCTATATATTTTAATACATTTTCCCTTTATTTCCTCCCCTATGAAAATGCCTGAGATGGATCCTATAAGGCAGAAATGTCTCAACACATCCCAGTAAAGTTCCACCTGTGAGTAGCCTGGTGTCCCTCCATCCAAGGGTGCGTCTTTCCTATTTGTGTTCACATGGTGCCATGGTCCTGATGGCCCTCTGAGGAGAGTGAGAGCCTCCCGAGGGCCAAAATACCTGTGTTAAAGTGAGAAATACCAAATGCATCCACCTCACTCACATTTTTAAAACTTCTACTTCTTTTTATTATCATCATTTTATGATACAAATCCAAAGGCCCTGGGATTTCCCAAATCCCTTTCCCAATTACCCACCACCCCACCTCATCGAGTTCCCTTATATCATTACTGTAGTATAGTTCTTCATACACAGTCATATGTCCATCATTGCAGGCATGGACAATGGCAGAGAGTCCAACATTCTATTGTTAAGATATAAGTAAACAGTTTCATTGGGAGATCATCTTTGTCCAGAAGTAGAGATGCATAATGCATTGCATCCTCACATCTGGATATGAGAGTCTCCATTACACAGTTACTATACATCCCTTAAATGAAAAGGCACCAAACAAAATCAACAACAGGGAGAAAAAAAGAAATCAACAACAGCATGAAGTTAAATAACATGCTACTGAATAGTTAATGTGTCGCTGAAGAAATGAAAAAAGATCAAGGACCTTCTTGAAGAAAATGATGCTACTGTATGATCTATGAGTCATTGAAGAATTTAGTGAGAAAGAGTTTTGAAGAGAAGAAACTAGCAAAAAGAGAGCCTGGTGAGATAGCATAGTGGTTAAAATCCTTGCCTTGAGTGTCAGGATCCCATACGGGCACTGGTTCTAATCCTGGCGGCCCTACTTCCCATCCAGCTTCCTGTGGCCTGGGAAAACAGTCGAGGACGACCCCAAAAGCTTTGGGACCCTGCACCTGTGTGGGAGACCTGGAGGAGGCTCATGGCTCTTGGCTTCAAATTGGCTCAGTTCCAACTGTTGCAGTCACTTGGGGAGTGAACCATCAGATGGAAGATCTTCCTCCCTGTCTCTCCTCCTCTCTGTCTATATCCACCTTCCAATAAAAGTAAAAAAGTAAAAAAAAGAAACTAGCAAAAAAAAAATCAAAATCCATGAAATGTAGTTTTCATTGATCTTTGTTGCTGAGATATGTCTCCTATAGGCAACAAATAGATGGGTTTTGTTTTTTAATCCAGTCTACATATCTTTTATTTTTATATATATTTTTTGAATTTTGTGGTACAATTTCAAATAGACAATCCAGTCTATTAATCTATAGCATTTAATTGATGAGTTTAAGCTGTTTACATTTGGGGCTAATAAAAATGGATGGTAATTTGGTTCTGTCATTTTAGCAGTGGGTTGTTCATTGATTTAGTGTTCTGTTGTTATTTTCCTGGGATGTTCTTCGCATTTGGCTTTGGTTTTGGTGGGTGCTAATCCTCTTCTCTCTCAAGAGAACATCTTTAAATATCCTTTGCAGGGCAGGTTTGGAAAAGGCATATTCTTTTAACTTTACTGTGGAAGAATTTTATTTCATTTTCAAAGACTAAGGAAAGCTTTGCTAGGTACGTTATCTTGGGCCAACAATTTTTTTTTCTTTTAGAATCTGGAATATGTCACTCCATTCTCTTCTTGCCTGTAGAATGTCCTATGAGAGGTCTCCTGTGAGTTTAATTGGCATTCCTTTATACGTCAGTTGTTATTTTTCATGTGCACATTTAAGGATCTTTTCCTTAGGTTCTATGGAAGAGAGCTTGATTATCATGAGTCTTGTTCAACTCTGTTGGGAGTTCTGCGCCCTGCCTGGATGTTGTTTCCCAATTCTTTCTCTAGATTAGGGAAAAATTTCCCTTATTACTTCATTAAATAGAGTTTTAAACCCAGCTTCTCTTTCTGCACCTTCTGGAACTCCCATAACTCTTACATTTGGCCTTTAATTCCCATAGCTGTTATATTTGGTCTTTCAATTCCTGAATACTTTTCCTTTGCGCCTGATCCAGCTCTGCTTCCAGCTTTTTGTTTGTTTTCCTCTGGTGACAGGAACTATCTTCTAATTTTGAGATTCTTTCTTCTGCCCCCTTCATTCTATTTTGGAGACTCACCACTCTTAATTTGCTGTATTCTTCATTTCTGATATATCAGCTTTCATTTGATTCATTTCCTGTGTGACATATTCCTTGAATTTCTTGAATACCTGCTTTACATGCTTCTCATTGTTGATAAGTTTTATAAGAAGTGTTTTGAATTCTGTATCCCCCATTTTCTCGATGTCTTCCTCAGTTAACTCTGAGGTTGGCAAAGGGTTTTTCTCATTTTTCTCCTCATGCAGAGGAGTCTTCAGTAATATTCATTGTGCCTTTGTCTTTTTAGCTTTGGTCATTGTACTTCTGGTTATCAGATTCTTCTCCTTGGGGCAGGTTTTTAAGCTGTGTTCAATTTTACTTATTGCAGTTGGTACCTGGCTCTTTGTTTGCAGTCACTAGTGCAACTCCCTCCAGCAAGTTCAAAGTCTGGACACATATGTTAGCTTTCTACCATGGCCTCCATAGTCCCAGCTCTTTGCTCACCAGTTTCCACCTCCTGTGATACCATGCTGAGGCTGCACCAAAGTCCGTACAACCTTTCTCCCACTTCCTGTTGGAGCAGGTCCTGGGATTAGGGAGACATCAGGTATCCTATATAGCTAGATTGTTGTTGTTGGTGATCTTGCCGGAACCCGTTGGCTCTTAGGTCTGAGGGCCACACAAACCTATTTTGAACTGTTTTGACCCATATGATGTCGGTATTTCCCTGTGCACTGAGCTCAGTGAATTCTAGCTAAGCTAAGTGCATGAACAGCTCACTGTTGTCCCTGCAGTCTTAAAGTCTTTGTTACACTGTAAGAAATGGCACCTGATGTGCCACTACTAGAGTTCTTGATCTGCTGGCTGTCAGGTCTGAGGGTTACCTGGATCTATCTTGGTTGGAACCTGTAGGGTGCCACATGTTTGCAGTTCATTGGGCCAGAAATGAAATCACTTCCAGCTCAGTGCATGTGTAGTCCTGTCCCATAGTCTTTGCCTCCCTACACAAGATGGTGCCTGATTTGGCTCTAGGAGATGGACTGGACTGTGAAATCTACCCTGTTCCTGTACCACCTATCTGGGACCTGCCATTCTGTCTCTGCTCCTGATCAAATGAAACAGATCAGCAGGATGAGCAGTTCTTTGTCTGGGTTCATTTTCTGAGCTGCCGGTGAATGTTGCTTTCTACCTTGTTGCTGGTGGGGTTTTGGCTGTCAGTGGAGTTCAGATTGTCATTCGCTGAATGCCGCTGGGGCATGTTACTGCAACACCACACCATTATGTCTGCTGCTTTCTTTTGTCTGTCAGTCTTCAGGTGCTCTTCAGGGACTATGTCCTGACAGACGAATTTCCCAAGCTCCTCCATCAGAACCTCTCTCAATGGCAGATCTCGCACATACTGGTGGTCCATGGGCCAGCCCCACTTAGTCCACCTCCTGTCCTGGCAGGAACAGTGGCCTTTCCTGCCTGGCCTTCAACCCATTCCGGTTATTATTGTTGGGTGTTTCAGCTCAGCCAAAGCTCGTCCATACTCACATAAGGCTCACACATGCCTCAGTAGGGGCAGAGACCTAGCCAGTCCATCCTACACCTACTGGTCCTCCAGAGAACCAGATGTTGCTGGAGTCTAACCTAGCATGGTGTGTCCAGTCCCAGCTCACACTTGTGCCAAGGGAGATTGCAGCCATGTCCAAAGCAGAACGTAGCCCCCATTCCAGCCCACGCACTCACCTGTGGGAACCGCAACCCAGCCAGAGTGTCCTCTTAGCTCCCCAAAAAGGCCTGTTCCTAGCCATAGATCACGTGCACACCATGGTTGCTCTGACCCAGACTGGTATAGCCCCTCACCTCTCTTGGCCTTTGCCTTAGATGCTGTAATCTGGCATCCCTGGCTCATCAAACCAGTAGGTGTAAGAGCCTAGCTCAGCATGACCTGTGTTCCATTCTGATTTCTTTTCTTGCTTGTGAGCTAAGGTTTGCTTGGTCCTTCCTAGTCTGCCTCCTTCCATAATCAACCCACGTATTAGTCAACTGTTGGAGCTACTTTGCCCATCTTGCCCGACCCCCAGGCCTGGGCCATGTGATCATCAGTGAGAAATACCAATGCATCCACCTCACTCACCTGTAACGTCTGTTTTATCCACTCTGTGTCAATTTCTGGTTTCTTAAGACGAACATGAACAGCAGATTTTGTTGTGGTTTCTCCCTTAGGCTCCTCGATTTTCGGTGGATTCGACAGAGAGTATGTGAGCGTGGACATCTCTGATGCCTTCTGACCTGTTGATTGGTGGTTGAGCAAACACTGAGTCCAGTGTTTGAATTAAGTAAGATCCGGATGCTAAGGTGACTTGGAGGGCTTGTTAGAGCAGCCATGCCCTCCACCCCATGTAAGGCAGGCTCCCAAGTAGTAGGAAAAGCAAGGTCTTAGAAGAAGTGGGAAATGTAAGGACTAAAATTCCAGCTGTTTTCTCATTCATTCAGCTCAGATGTATCAAAGGTCTGATGTGTGCCAGCCCAGTGCTCTGTGCTAGATACAATGCCAAGGGCCACCTGGCACAGATATGATGGTGAGAGGGGGGTAGCACAGCACTATTCCAGTGCTGCTGTGAGTGGATTGCCGATTGGACAAAATGTGTGGCTGAGGGTTGAAAAGATTGAGGGCAAGCTAGGAAAAGTTAAAAAAAATGCATTTTGCACCTTAAATATATGTTATTTATCACTGAAAACATTTATGTGTGTTAAAAATAGGCTACTTTAAGTGGGGGGAACCCCTGGGTGGAGCAGGTGGACAGGAGGAGGCTTGTATCCCAACCCTGGGGACTCCCGGATCCTCAATAAGGACTATCAGTATGGACACCAAGGACTACATCCCAACTGCCAAGCCGACCATGGGGAACTGGAATGCCTTCGGATGCCAAACACTCTGACGCCATCCACCCCTGTTTGGATCTACCACATGGGATGGAAGAAACCCAAACCCTTCCTTGCAGGATCCAAGGTCATCGGAACAGTAAGCTTCCTTCAGGACTAGGGAGAGGAGCTTTCTCTGGTCCTTACTTAGTTCCAACTTTGGATCCCCACCCTATCTTGCAATGACCATCAGGGTCGTTCCGGAGCCCTCCACCCCAACACACACACACACACACACACACACACACACACACACACACACACAATTAGAATAGACAGAGAACAAAAAGGAAAGCTTGGAACTTGACAGGAAACGGTCAGCGTGGACTCACACATGCCTTAGTAGGTAGGATACAAAGATTAGTTACTCCTCACTAAGGTATTGAAGATTTCTCTGCACACCCCTCCTAAAACTGTTCTATACTTCAACTGTTGACATATGTCTTCTTAGAGTTATAAGCCAGTTTAGACTATGCCAAAATCTGCCAAGTTCAGCAAAATTAAGCTTCAACACTATAAACTGCTGAATGCTAAAATGAAAATAGTCACGAGACAGCTGAATAGTATCCTATAGCCATTTTAAGGTGTATAGCAGCCAGTTCTTTGTATAAACCAAAATTGAAATGTCAATAAAGCAGTCAGAGGATGCGGTTAAGAACTTACATTTTTTAACATATTTGTTACTCAATACCATGTCAATTAATTCCATAATGTTGTAAATTGATGCTGATGTTATGTTGTGGCTTTTAATTGGTCAGGACGATATTCTGTCAGCTCTGCTTTCAGATCAGAGGTGGTCTCTCCAAGAAACTGTTGAATTTATCTGGACAATAAGATAATGGACTCTATGCTTGCAATGAAAGAATCTTAACTGAATTTGAACTGTAATACTGCAATAAGGTGGAGGAACCCACCATGGGGGGAGGGTATAGGGAAGGGATGGGGGAATCCTAGAACCTATGAGACAGTGTCACATAATGCAATATAATCAATAAAACAAAACAAAACAAAACAAAACAAAACAAAAACCAGGCTACTTTATATGTCAGTGTAGGGTAAGGTCATGGTGACTCAACAGGCTAATCCTCTGTCTGCAGCACCAGAATAACATAGGGTGCAGGTTTGGGTCCTGGCTGCCTCACTTCCAGTCCAGCGGCCTGGGGAAGTATCTGGAGAATGGCTCAAGTCCTTGGGCCCCTGAGCCCATGTGAGAGACCCAAAAACATGCTCCTGACTTCTAGCTTCAGATTAGCTTAGCTTCAGTTACTGGGGACATTTGGGGAGTGAACCAGCAGAAAAAGATTTCGTTTTGCCTCTCCTTCTCTCTGTAAATCTGCCTTTCAAATAAAAATAAATATGTCTTTTAAAAAAATGCAGGGCATTATCATTCCTTTGAGTGTGGGCTGATGACTAGGGCAGTGGGATGATGTTATTCTCAAGTCACACCCATCAGTTATGGCTTATCCTCTTCAGTTTTGGCAGTTTCTAAACAGTTTAAATTTCGGAGTCATAGTATCTTTTAAGAAAAAAATTCCTACATTCTATATTCATTTGCATCTGTTTTGTCTACACTTAAAGTGGGTTATAGAAGCTATTTTCTTGTTTTTTTTTTTTTTTTAAGCATTCAACTTAGTGTTTCTTCTACCTTTGTCCATTTGTATAAGAATTGTGGCTTAGAACTTGAATATATGAAGGGCACCATCAGGGCAAACCCTGTGCCCAGCATCTCCGTTAAGTGCCAAATCCAGTGGTGGGAGCTGCAAGGAGCAGAGCCAAGCCTTGGAGAGGCATCTCCAACGAGGGTCAGCCAGGATGTTCCTGGTGGAGAGGAAGAGCCCCGGCTCAGCAGGTGATTAGAGAGAGGTCAGTGAGGACACCACAGGTGTCTGCCATGAGAGCTCCCAGGAGAGAACATGTCCAGCTTCTGAAGGTTAGGAGACTTCTGGGGGAGGGAAGTCTCTCACACCCAAGGGGGAGTTCCAGAAGCAGCAGCATATGGTAGGAGGGTAGAGTGCAGAGGATCAGTGGAAACTGAGGGTTCAGGAAAAGCAGGCTGGGCTAGGTTATTGGTCCATCTGCCCAGTCAATGTTATCTGTTGTGCACCTGTGTGTCAGGGTCACTGTTGGCCCTGTTGTGTCAGGGGAAGCAGATGTGATGCAAGTGAATAGATGAAACTGTGATATGGCAGATTGGAACTCAACCCACATACAAAGAGGCAAGATTTCTCCAGGACCAGGCCTCTTGTTTGTGTGTCTTAGCTCAAGGTGTCCCTGATTAATCGTTTATCAAAAGGAATTCATTAAATTGAGGGAGTGGTTCAACTGGCCCTACAAAGTTCTAATCACCAGACTCAGTAAGTCATTTGCTTCTCCAATAGGTAATACCTTGATGGTTACTATGGTCCAGAGTGGGTGTGTTTAAGAGAGTTCTAAGTCTGGGGCACAGTGTAACTGCCACCTGCATGTAGTCCTTCTGCAGACTAACTGAAGCCCATGTATCCTTGAAAAGCATGGAACTACTGGTTTTAAAAGCCAGGCCATGAGCAGCCCTGACCAGCCAGGAACTTAAATGAGAGCTAATGATGTGCCTCGTAGGCTCAACTTCAATCCATTAGAACCGCCCTCCCCCGGGCCTTCAGAGTCCAGGATTAAGTGATAGCTACCCAAGTCCTTGCTCTGTACTTTACAAATACATGACCACTTTCTTCCACCATGAAAAATTAAGAAGGGCAAGAAGGATGGAAAGTTGCATTCGTATGTACACATGTAAACACTAGCTTGCAAGAGGCAGCCAAGGAATGTCTAGATGAGAAGATAACATTTCAGCGAAGCGCTGGATGAAATGAGAAGCAGCCCACAGGCCGATGGAACTGAGAGTGTTGCAGGCAGGAGCAGCACACACAAAGGCCTTGTGGCAGGGGATGCTTGGTTCACTCAAGGAAGGAGCAAAAAGCCAATGTGATTGAGCCTTCTAAGCCACATGAAGCATGCAGACATTTTCTGGGAGGCAATGGAGGCTAAGGAAGAGATTTTAAAATTTTGCATTGGAAATGTTAAGACTGAGAGACAAAAGGACAGGAATCAGGGAGACTAGAATTTCAGGGGAAAAGATGATGGTGACGGCTTCCTATGTTTTGTAAAGTGGGGGTAATGCTACCTACAGTGTCCTAAGTGTTTATTGCAAAGTAATGTATGCAAAGCGTTTGGCACCTGGTTGAAGTCCGATACAACTTTATTCTTCTCATAAAAGACTTTGTCATGTTGATGCTTCTTGATGCCAACTGTGATGTTCTGCTTGGTCTCAGCAGAGTAGATGACTCTAAACAGGAATGGCTGCATGCCATCAGGAGCCCAGCACACAGGCCAAGGCAGGACCCCTCTCACTCTGGAATTAGTGATAATTTCCAGGCAGCTTTAAACCTAGCATACCCCGCGTGGAGCCCATGTGACTCTGTAGGCTGCATACACACGGTGCTGGTCTTGGTTTGGAAAGAGGAGTTTTTAGAAACACAAGAATCGAGAAGAATGGACCAAAGACTGGAAGCAAATGAGTTTGCCTCACCATGGGCTGTTGGAGAATTCTTTGGGACTTGCCACAGTAAGAACATGAAAAATTAAGTATCACTGTATAAAGCACCCAAAGCATTCATGCTTTTCAGGCTTCAGTTGCCTAGAAGAGCAGGGAGTAGGTAGGGCTGCTAGCGCAGTCTTCAGGGGGAATCTAGCCCTTTGACTCATACCACATTTGATCCTTCAATTAGAAGTCCTAGTCTGGGCATACGACAGTACAGTATCCTGAAAAAAAAAAAAATCTTATTCCTCAAAACGAACAAGAGTATCAGACCAGGCCCAGTGCGGTAGGTAGCTCAGCAGCTCAAGTCCCCGCCTTGCACGCTCCGAGATCCCATACTGGCACAGGTTTTAGTCCCGGTGGCCTAGCTTCCCATCCAGCTCCCTGCTTGTGGCCTGGGGAAAGCAGTCAAGGATGGCCCAAAGCCTTGGGACCCTGCACCCGCGTGGGAGACCTGGAAAGAAGTTCCTGGCTCCTGGCTTTGGATTGGCTCAGCTCCAAACCATTACAGCCACATGGGGAGTGAATCATTGAATGGAAGTTCTTCCTCTCTTTCTCACCTCCTCTCTGCATATCTAACAGTCAAAAAAAGAGTATCAGACATTCATGTACATATCCACCCATTGAGGGAACATGTCATGGTGCCAAAGACAGACCCAGGTATCTACAGCTGAGGGGAACAGAAACACAGTGGAAGACAAGTGGCACAGTCAGTACAGCAGCCATCTGTTGCTGGGATTTTTTTCTTGTTGTTGTTGGAGGGGAGAGGATACAAACATCTTTATTTATTTATTTGCATTTTAACTGTTATTGTTATTTTCCATGATATGATTTTGTGGGTATAATGGAATCCCCTTCTCCTATTCTCCTTCTTCCCTCCCCATTATTCTCCTTCCATTTCCTCCCATTTTATTACATTAGCGTAGTCCTTCAGTACTAGTCACAAGTCTAACATTCTGCTGTTTGAGTGTACCGTGGCATTGTAGGAATTGGAAAGTCTGGTAACACATTGTGAAGGTATATTTAACAGTTCCATTGGGAGCCTTCCTTTTATTGAAGAGATGTATCTTCACTTCCTGATATGCTAATCTCCCTAACAGAGTTCATCTATGGGAATATATGTATATACATATTATCTATGTATCTATCTTGTATTTTGTATGGTTGTTGCCTTACATCGGAGGAACATAGGATATTTTCCTTTTGGGATTGACTTGTTTCATTGAGTATAATGGACTCCAGCTGGAATCATCTTACTGCAAATGGTAGGATTTCATTCTTTCTAATGGCTGGGTAGTATTTCATGGAGTACAACTATTCCAGTTTCTTTATCCATTCATCTTTTAACAGACATGTGGGCCGTTTTCATGTCTTCACCATTGTGGATTATGCTGCTTATAACTATAGCCTTGCAGGTCACTTTCTCAACATGCAGACTTCACTTCCTTTGTGTGAGTCTGAGTGTGGTGGGTCCACCTCCAGGCAATTGAAGTGGTCCTGTTCCCAAGGCCAAAGATGGTGTGAGACCTAGACTCAGATACACATATCCTATTTTATTCAGCCGATATAGCTGTAAGAAGCAGACTTTGGTTCATTTTCAAAGTAAGGCAAATACAAAATCATTAGCTAGCTAGTGTAACAGCTTGCAGGTGTTCAGAAAGTAACAAGTTTATGCACCTGGAAATTCCCAAAGCAATCAGGAAATGAGACATTAGGGGTGATTAACATAGCAAAATGCATATTAGTGGAAATAATAAAAATTGAGTGATGTCTGGGAAGATTGTAGTCCTGTAGTACTTAGTCAATGAGGAAACAGGGTAAAGACATGCGTGTTAGTGAATGAGTACCTTGCTCCAGGGTGTGCCTGCCTATTAGATATCTCATATTGCAAGATCATTGGTAACAAAACACCGATCTTGCAAGACCCTTAATAAAGTCTCGCTTTCCCTGCACTTTCCAAGTCTGAGTCCATTCTTGAGTGCACAGGCGATGATATTTTCTACATGCCAACTGCTGGTTCTTCATTGAATATGCCAGGATAAGCCGTGGGTTTCACTTGAAGATCTGGGGCTGGAATGTAGCCTTTCTATTTAATGGGGGCAGATATTTGGCCTGTCTTTGTCTTCCTTAGAAGTACCATATGCTGATTATGCCACTGGAGTGCACTAGTTTTCTTTCTTCTCCTTATTCTATTTCACAGGGTGTGACAATCTTGCAATCAGATAACGTATGTAAAAGGACCTGGCCTGCAGCTAGTGCTAGCATCAGAGACAGACTCTGGTGCTGGGATGGAAGCACTCTTGAGAGGGAAGGTGTGGCCATGATGGGTTAACTCTGTGTCCCCTTGGCATCGTCATTTCTATGTTACCTGGATCTAGTAATCTTAAAGTTGAATTTCTCAGCTTAGTAGCCAGATACCTTAGTCCTTTGACCAAAGTCTTCCATGGTTGCATTGATAACTTCTGTGACTGACAAACGTCAACAAAGGGATTTCAAATGCTTCCAGTATTCTAGAAAAGACTCTGTTTCTTTTCCAAATTTTGCATTAATATTGACTTCCCAAAGCACTCTCATTACTACTCCCAATCTGGAATAGATCCCCTCCTGTGAGGTCCCATTCTGTATGGCAATTCCCTACTTTCTTATCTTTCCCCCAACAAGGGATAAGCCTCTTGAAGTCCTAGACTAGGTTTTTCTTCTGTGGTTTAATCACCAGGTAGGTCTTCCAGGGAGGTAGCAGGCACTTCTGTCTTCCTTAAGAACACTACAGGGGGTGAGAGGTAGCAGACAAGCATTAAGCTGCACAAAATGATAGAGTAGGTCTTACCTTCCCGTCTCTTCAGAATCCACAGGATTGCAGCTTTGTATTTGTCAAAATTTTTCTTCAACCTAGAAGGCAGGCAGATCATCTTTGTAAGCCAAGGCTGAGTTCACACCTACAAGGCAGGATACAAAGTATCTGGGGTCTTGCACCTGCCAAGTTCCTTACATTGGTGGGAAGCTGGGCTGTTCTGCTGCCTGACCCAGCCCTTCTTTCAGCAAAGCCCAGGAATGAAGGAATGCCATGTGACACTCACTCAGTACTTCCTACTTAGTATGTACTTGACTTTCAAATCCAGGCACATGGCCTGATTCCAGAAACCTTCAACATAAATTCAAAACAGGTCACTTTGTGGGTTAGAGACAGAGCCCAGGAACTCCAGTTGCAAGTTGTATGAGTTAAGTTCGTACAGCTTGATTTTCTAAGGCTTGTTCACATCCCAGTGAGGGTTACCTCTGGAAATGACTTGAAAAAAAACAAAAACAAAAACAAACAACAAAACAAAACAAAACCAAAACAAAAGAAACAAAAAACCAGCATTGTCTGTGAATGGGACGGAGCTGCTGTAAACCCCTTTGCCTTTAATAGGACACTTGCAAATAGGCTCAGTCACAACCATTTACCACGAAAGTCACACTAAGGCCCAGACTTTTGAAATGATCAAGCCACTCACTCAGCTCACGTCAATATACAAAATGTGTTAACCTGGCATTTGGAGGACGTGGGCTGTTTTACTTTCAAGGGCAGCTGTTTTCTGGTTCTCAGATCACAGCCCCTTTGAAAGGGAGGGCCCCAGTAAGATGAAGCTTCCCAGGCTTAACTGGATCTGAAAGGAGCCCTTCGACATGACAGGTTTTAAGTTCTTAAGATGCCTTGAAGACAGCAAAAAGAATTTTACTGTGAGCAACCCTAGGAAGCAGACATCTTTTGCTGGAAAGAGCTGGACTGTTTCATTTTGCAGACAACAATGGTTTACTACTTGTATGTAAGAAGCAATAGGGGAAACTTGGAAACGAGATCTGCATGGTCTGACAGTATTGCTTTTATTTGCCAACACTTCTAGTATTTAACAGTAAACAAGTCTACTGGCACCTGTGAAAAATAAAGACCAAAGAGTCGTGAGGATTGGAGACCTATCCTTCAGGATGCTGAATGCAAGCAAGGTTAACCTCAAGGGAGGGGACCCAGCTGGCAGCATTCAATGCCCCTTTGAAAATGGCTCCTCTCCTCTCCTCTCCTCTCCTCTCCTCTCCTCTCGTCCCCTCCCCTCCCTTCCCCTCCCCTCCCCTCCTCTCCCCTCCCCTCCCCTCCCTTCCCCTCCCCTCCCCTCCTCTCCCCTCCCCTCCCCTTTTCTCTCCTCTCTCTTCCTCTCCTTTTTTTTCCCTCTCTTTTTGGGTCCATCTTTGCAAGCTAGCAGAAGGAATTCCTACCAGTTAGCTCCTCAGTGGTGGAGTTCACAGGTGCACATTGCTGTATCCCACCTAGCTTGGCACACCATGGGTGCTTAGGAACTATTTGTTGCCAGCAGTCAACACATGAACCTGTCTTACAGGCTTACATGGGAAGATGGGCAGGAAACGGCCCTTGGCTGCAGGATGGCAAGCTGTTGAGTGTTTGTTCCTGCTGATCCCAAGCCTGGGAGATCTTGGTGATTTCTATTCTGTAGGTGTGACCCTCCTCTCTCCTCTGGAAACCTTGGGGAATCTCCTGCTCCACAGCAGAAATTTCTGACAGTTCTTCTCTTGTGACTTTGCAAGTGTTGAGCGCTCTGTCCCCAATGCCTGTGCCACTGCTGGAGGACATACAAAAGACCCAAAGGGCTCCAAACACAACCATGCTTTCTCAGATGTCTGACCACAAGGAGGGGAAAGAGTCAGGCTTTGTGCCAACAGTACTGTAGACTGGAGGCACAAATGTGTTTCTGGAACAGTCTGTGACCTAGTGTCAGAAATGGGTCTGCAACAACCCTATCATTCCCCAAACTGAATCAGGACTCTGGCCAGGACTCCAGCTGAGGTCAGCTCCCAACTCTCCCTCCTCCATGAGCAAAACTCCAGCCAGCCTCAGGGGGAAGCTCTGGAGCTTGCTAAGCAGATATCCAGGATTTTGACACTCCATTGCTCCTCCTAAAAGCCCAGAGGTTTCTTGCTTTTTGGACTTTTGTTGATATTTTTGGTTCCTTCAAGACTACCCATGCCTTGGATTTCCAGTCTCCACTCCCATGTCCCTTGACTTTTACCTAACTGTGCCCCTCAGGCTTGTGATCTCCTTGGCCTGGGGTCTTGATCTAGGTCTGGCAGCTGGCTCATTTTGTCTTCTTGTCTGCTCCCTGATGCTGGGAATTTGCTAGTGTGTGTGTGTGTGTGTGTGTGTGTGTGTGTGTGTTGCTTTGCCCAATTCAGCCTTCTGCTGCCTCCTCTGGCCTGCCCGCACCCACCAACAGGCAGCTTCATCTCCCCAGCTACTCACAGCATTCTTAGCTTCTTTTTGTTTTGACTTTCCAGCAGCTTGGTCAGGGGAATGTCAAAATCCTCCTCGAGTTCACGGAGAGCAGCCATCTCTTGGATGATTAACCTAAACACTGACTGATAGGAGCTGTTAAGAAACTACAAAAGGGCCACAGAATCAAAATCCAGGAAATGGGAATTAACAACTCATTTATCATGTTTCTGGCTCCCAAAGCCTCCTGCCTCCGCATCCTCAATCCATCCCCCATAGAAGCCAACAGGGTGATCTGTAAAAATACAAGATTAGTCCCTTTGCCACAAAAGAACTCCGTCAACATTTGAGAAGACTTTGGGCTGGATCTTCCTTAAATGATTCTGTAGGTATCTATTTTAAGAAAACTCCTTACAGAGCAAGAAGAAAACATGAGTGGAATTACAAAATTTTGGTAGTAAGAAAGAAAAGGTCTTTCTAACATAAAACAATATTCAGTAGTTGGGATATGAAGTGACAAATGAAACGCTCTAAAAATAACAATGTTGCAGCAACTGCCAGAAAGAAAGTTGGGATAAAAATGCAAACTGGAGGAGTTGGCATTGTGATGCACCAGCTTAAACTACTGCTGGGAATACTCAAATTCTGTATTGAAGCGCTGGTTTGAGCTCTGGCCACTTCACTTCCATTCCAGTGCTCTGCTAATTCGCCTGGGAAATAGCAGGTACTGATTTAAGTACAAAATTCCTGCCATCCATGTGAGAAATCTAGGTGGAGTCTCTAATTACCCTAGCTTTGGTCTGGCCAAGTCCATGCTGTTGTGGCCATTTGGGGAATGAGCCAGTGGACTGGAGATCTCTTTGTCTCTCTCCTGCTCTCTATAAGAAAATAAATATTAAAAAAAAATTGGGAAAAAGCTCATATGTATGTATGTCAGAAAAAAAGACTATATTTTAAAAAAAAGATTTATTTTACTCCCATTGGAAAGTCAGATATACAGAGAAGAGGAGAGACGGAGAGAAAGGTCTTCCGTCCGTTGATTCATTCCCCAAGTGGCTGTAACAGCCAGAGAGCTACATTGATCTGAAGCCAGGAGCCAGGAGCCAGAAACCTCCTGCAGGTCTCCCTCTCAAGCAGAGTCCCAGGGCCCTGGGCCGTCCTCGACTGCCTTCCCAGGCCACAAGCAGGGAGCTGGAAGGGAAGAGCGGCCTCTGGGATTAGAACTGGCGCCCATATGGGATCCCCGCACGTGCAAGGTGAGGACTTTAGCTGCTGGGCTACCACACCAGGTAGAATCGCTTTTTTTTTAACATGTAAAAACTCTGAAAAAATCAGAAGGGAAAAAAATAAGCACCTGATACAACTTGGATTAGTTTGAACTTGGCCCTGCCAGGCCCACACTCTGGCAGCTTGGTTACAGCAGATGATGCTGGGAAACAAGGATTGTATAGTCCAGGTTCTAGATGTTGTCTTCTCCTCTCACGTGGGCTCCTCTGTTGTGACATCGTCCATCAGCCTGAACCAGGGGGCATCCTTGATCTTGAACACTAACCCTTCAAAACAAACCTAAACACACCTCTTTTCTGTGTAAAGTTACCCTGTCTCAAGTATCTCATCATAGTTATGAAAAACCAGATAAACATAGCAGTATAATGGAAGAGTGAAAAAAAAGCACAAAGACATAGGTGACCAACAGATGGACAAACGTGCGTCAGTGTTCACAATGAAGGTGATGGAGAAGGCAACAAGGAGACATTGTTAACATTTGTCTTACCAAAAGAACCACAAGTGAGGAAACTTTGCTGATGAGGATGTGAGGAAGGAAGCATTCTCATGTCCTCTGGGGAAAAACATGGTGCACTTACAGGGGTGGAGTGGTGGTGGAAACTGATCAATATCCTTTATGTTAAAGATGAACCTTTGAATTCAGGGTTCAAGTGCTAGGAATTTCTTTAGCTACAATTGCATTTCTGTGTACAACTCATTGCAAAATTTGAGAGAGTGTGTGTGTATTTATGAAGAACTGGGAAAGGACTTAAGTATCCACTGAAACAATGCTGGTTAAATTATAGTACAAGATATAATATTATACAAATATTTCCAAAATATGCTATGCAGGGAAAAGCAAATTAGGTACATTGTGAATACTGCGATCCTATTTATGGGTATGCACCTTTTTAAAGATATGTAAGTTTATATAGGCCTTAAAATTTTCAGAAGGAATAAACAAGAATATAAAGTAGTTACTTCTGGGAGATAAGGCATTGAAAACTTGAAACATTTATTTTCTAGCCGTATTTACTATTTCTACATTTTAAAAGTCTGGTGCTAGGGCCCGGTGGCGTGGCCTAGCGGCTAAAGTCCTCACCTTGAACGCACCCGGGATCCCATATGGGTGCTGGTTCTAATCCCGGCAGCTCCACTTCCCATCCAGCTCCCTGCTTGTGGCCTGGGAAAGCAGGTGAGGATGGCCCAAAGCCTTGGGACCCTGCACCCATGTGGGAGACCCGGATGAAGTTCCTGGATCCTGGCTTCGGATCGGCACAGCATTGGCCTTTGCACTCACTTGGGAAGTGAATCATCGGACGAAAGATCTTCCTCTCTGTATATCTGACTTTCCAATAAATAAATCAATCTTAAAAAAAAAAGAAAGTCTTGTGCTAATGGTAGCTTCACAATTTTAAAGCAAAATTGAATGAAAACACCCAAAGAAAACAAAACAATACAAAACAAACCAAACAAGAACAAGTCAGGTATGTCACATTGCCTGCTGACAGTCCTTTTGTGAAAAAGCCCTGGGGTGGCACAGAACTTTCAACAGGAGCATACCTGCTCAAACCACCTGTCCAGCAGAACACTCTGGAATGTTCCTGAATAGGCCTTGGTCTTTCTGAACTTCACTCAGTCACAGGGAGGGTGTGCTGCTTGTGAATGTGGCTCTGCCTGATACAGCAAAACCTCAACACACAGAAGCTCTGAGGAGCGCTGAATAATTTAAGAATCTAATTAAATCAATTCCTTTAAGTTTCCACTCTAGTTGAGAAATCTTTCTACAACACCTGAGTTTACTTTCCTGTATTAATAAATTCAATACGATAAAGCCAAGTTCAAGCCATCTTTTTTCTTCCTTGCCTGTGCCATTTCAGTATTTGAAATGCAAATCTTGTTAATACAGTGCTGCAGAGAAGCAAGTGTGGAAGGTGAGGAATTGAGGGCTACCTAGGCAGTGAAGCCAGAAAATTTCCTAAATATATATATACATTTGAATATATAAAATCAAATTTTATATAAAATATATAAAATTCAAATATATATATTTGAATATCTAAAATATATGTTTATATATAAAACATATATTTGAATACGTGTATTTATGAATATATATATATATATATTTGAAACTAAATATCTAGGTTGTGGCCTTTTGTTTGTTTTGTTTTTCACAATGGAAATTTAGAGAAATACATCTGCTTAATTTTGGGTTGCAGGGATGCAATCTTTTGTTGTCCTGGTTGTAGTGAGACCTGCAATCTTGCTGAGTAACAGTACTCTCACTCACACCAACCCGGGTTATAAGTCTTAGAGCTAAGTTGACACAGTAAACTAGTGCCACCAGGTTGCTCACCAGTCAAAGTGTTTATATGTCACATAAACGTTTATAAAACAGAATATTTATAACGCAGAATGCAAATTTTGCTTTAAAGGCAATGCAGCTTGAGTACCCCTGCTCTGAAATCTATGTGTTTCAGACATAGAATTTTTAAAATGGGGAATATTTGTATATATGAAAGGTCTTTAAAAAATCTCATGGAAATGCATTATAGAAAAACAACTATGCATGGATTTAAAATTTTTTGCACCCATCTAAATTTATCATCGAATTTCATTTTCCATGGACTTTGAGAAGTATCTTCATGCAACGAGATGATTGCTGATGGGACTTGAAGCACAGCATTCATTCATGCTCTTGTACTTGTTACCTGGAGGCAATGCTATATGGGATTTTGTGATCCTGTGCTTTGATGTTGACCTGTCATATGAGGTCAAGTGTGAAATTCTCCAAGTACAGCCTCATGTTGATGCTCAGAAAGTTCCAGTTTTTCGAACATTTTGGATTTCAGATTTGTGGATGAGGGATGCGCCACCTGCTAAACACATGCAAAGCTTATCTAAACAATTCTGACTTTCCATCTTGTGTCTAGGTAGAGCAGGGGAGAGGATTCCTGCTGAGCTTTCAGTGCTGCTTCTCTGTCCCTCTGAAGGGTGAGGTCGGAGGGCCTGACAGCTGGGGAGATGCTAACAGGTGTGGTGTTTGCTGGAAGTACAAATTATTGCCTAGTGTCTTCTGTCTTGCTAGGTTGCCCCATTAGAGACAGTAGGCGTTTCTTAACTGTGTTTGTTAGAGTTTAGAAGTTGCTATCTTTTCCAGCACCCAGTCTGGGACACACGTGGTAAAAACCAAACCAAACCAATCAAGCAAAACCCGGAGAACTCCTTCCCATGTTGTTCTTTTCTTGGCACCTGAGGCAGCAGGGAGCTCACTTCCTCCTTTCCACTGTTCAGCGCCATCTTATGTCATTTTTTTTTTTTAATGTAATGTCTAGAGTGTTAAGTTTAGGCTTATTTTTACATAAAATTTCTGCAAAAAAAGAATCTGCCATGATAGCCTAGGTAGTATAAGTGTTTGATTTTTCTTGTGTATCTTGGAGCGCTTTGTACATATTGCAAGACGAGCACTCAAAATAGGAGCTTGCAGTGTGATATTTGGATTTTGGTCCTGTTTGACTCAATGTGGACTTCTTAAACCCATGTCTGCTTTCATAAAAAGCCCAGCTGGGCTATGCCAACAGAATAGTGAAGCTATGGATCCCAGGCCTCCAGAAGCACTGTGTCTGGCCCTGAGTCACTCCTCTGATATTTGGAGGAATATGGTCTCAAGTTTTTACGCAACTTACGTTGACATCGAACTCTTCGGCTTCCTGTTTGTCACTAACTTCTTCTAGTAGAGAATCTTCTACATTCTTGTCAAAGCTTGGCTCTTGGCCTTTTGGTTTTGGAAGGCATATCAAAAAGCAGGACATTTGGGAAAGAAAAAAAAGCGAGAAGTATATTTATGACATTTACCCTGCCCTTTTCAGAAAAATGCACACATAATGAACTGTTAAATAAATCCACCAAATTATCTAAAATTCAACTTGAGGGTATTCATGAGGTAGAAGAAGCCCAAGGATCCCTTTTACTGGCTGACTTGGAAAGCCAGTGTTGTTCCTGGGGCTTTGGAGAGACATTGGACAAGTGGCATTCATGATCTGTCTACACCTTGTACAGGCACCTGGAGGCAATGCTATTCAGGATTTTTTTATGATCCTGTGTTTTGACTGTGACCTGTCACATGAGGTCAAGTGTGAGATCATTCTCCATGTGAGGGCATCCAGAATGAAGTAAGGGAGTGAGCAGGAAGATGGAGCCTTCCTAGCAGGGAATTAGGAGGCCGTGAGGACACAGTGATGGGAGCTTGACTGACACATGTGAGGACTGCCAAGGGCCTGGATGGAATATTGGTGGTGGGCCAGACGGGGAGATCAGAGAGAGATTGAGGGGCAGGGACCAGCTCGGGGACCCTGTGAGCCTGTGGAAGGGTCAGAGCTGAGATTTATGGTGTGTGTGTTTTTCTCTTGGATGCTGCAAGCAATATATCTTCCATCACTTTTTGCCTAAGTAAAGGCCAGCTTCTAAGAACTCCATCCTGCTCATATTTGCTACAGTGGAAGAGATGACTCTCCAGGCCTGTGAGCTGAAGAAAGGCTCCAGGAGATGGCGAGGACCTTTGTTCCTCAAGGTCGGCCTCAGCCTCACTGCTCCCTGGGTCAGGAAGGGGACTACAGCCCCCTGGGTTATGGTGTGCAAACTGAAGAGTGAAACTGATCATTTGTATTTAGGGCTGTCTTCCTTCTGGAAAGGAGCAGATCCTCATCAAGGGCCCTGAGGCAGAGGCTCGTACATGACAGTTGGTCCCTTAGGGAAGTCACAGAAGTCTGTGGTGAAAGCTTCAGCAGCACACCTGTCCCTTCAAGTTGGGATGTCCAGAGGGATGCAAAAATCACCCTGATGGCATGGGGTGGAATGCCTTGATTCTCTGTGTGTAATGGACCACCTTCCTGAACTGGGCATTCTTGGACGACGAATGTCTGTGACTCCATCATAATCTCTTGGTGACCCAAGCCCTACCCCTTGAACAAGATCTAAAAGAAGGACAAGTCCTGGATATATGGCCCATGACTCATGTTTATTCTGGTTAAATGACTGTTTTTGGCTGTAACCCCTGGCCCTGATAACACTACTGTCACCTCTGCAAACTACTTATGCCTTCCACTTGTGCCATCTGTGCCCCATCTATCTGGTTAATAGTGTTTTTTTGTTTGTTTTGTTTTTTTAATGTCCCCTCTGGTTTTTCTTTACTCAGAATGTGGTTTCACTGTTTAAAAACTCTTTACTTTGGAGGTTCGAAGTGGTAGTCTAACAGCATCCTGTTATGTGGTTACTGTCCTGGCTGTCTTGGTTGGTGAATAAAGACTCCGAGTTCTTTAAGATTGCCTCAGACTCATTTCTGGGATAGATTTAGTGAACTTCCAACATGTGCCTTTAGGATGTGGGGACAGAGAGGGGACATTCTTCACCATCTTCTTGGTGCTGAATTTTGGTTCCATAATAAACTCCCTGACTCATCTACATTCCTTAGAATGAAGGACTCCATTGAGTCGGAGCTACCTGTGCGAACACAGGTTCCTTTCTGCTTACACACGGCCTCCCTTAGCCTTGGTGCACTCCGGAAAGAAAGAATTCCCTGAAAATTCTTTCCCATCATGCCCTGCAGGTACACATATGCCATGGATACTTGAGTACTAAAAATGGCCAAGGCAAGGGTATGCCCAGAAGGATCGCAAAAACACTGTTCGCAAGCTATGAGCCTTGGAAATGACTGAGGGAAGTTTTGAAGAGCCCTATAGGAAAAACCCAACAAGAGCTCCTGGGAATTGAAGCAAGCACTCAGGAAGTTCCTTATGGATGGCACTGAGAAAAAAAAAATGAATACACTGGTGGGAAAGGGGTCTGAGAGACTGAGGAACAACTGGTATAAGTGGCTCTGAGTTCCTTCCAGTGCTTGCCTGTGATGGGAATTGGGTTTGGCTCAACCGATCATTTGTGTGGCCGTATGCAAAATCCACAGTTAGCTTGCAGGGGGAGAGAAATAGCTTTTTATCATAGGGAGAAGGCAAACTTGGCAGCCCCCGAATACTGAAAATTGGTTCTTAGAGCATTGACTTCAGAGTGCTAACTAAGCTTGGTAACATCAGTGTGCACTGTCCACATGTCACTTAGAACCCAGTTAACAGTCAGTCCTGTAGCTAGAACTGGGGCTGCATTCCCAGGAAGAGGTTCACTGATCATGGGCTGGCCCTCTGGGGGGAGTTCTGTTGACCTTAATCTCTGTTCTGGTGAGATTGTTAGATCCTCCTGAAGTCACAAGAGGTTGGGGGAGGCCAGAGAAAGTGTCAGGGCAGGCTCTGGTGGTGGCTCTGACACCTGTGATCAAAGCCCCTGGTGACAAGAAAATAAATCAGAAGGAACTTCCCGAGTGCTTGCTTGAATTCCCAGGAGTTCTTGCTGGCTTTTATCTATAGCGCTCTTCAAAACTTCCTTCAGTCATTTCTAAGTTGCTCAGCAGCCCTGCACCACGCCCCTCATTCGTGCAGTGGGGACAATCACACTCTTTTGGGCAGTGCAGAGGACCAGTGCTAATGAAGGACCATTCTTGACACAGCCTGTCCCCCAGTGGAGCATGACTTCCCCTGAAGAAGTCTAACTCTCCCTCATCCAAGTGAGTCTTCTGCAATGCTTTTCTTAGTAGAACCACAGTGTCTGGATTGGGAATGCACGTTTGAGCTGTATGTATTTTTCCTGCTAATGTGGGGAGGAGCCCACAATCCCCACAAATTTGGGCATTTGGTAGAGGTATCAGGTCTTGCATAAAACACAAACTTCATTCCATTCCCAACCTGTACGCCTTGGTTGATTGATAAGCCTTGAACTTTGCACAGTGCATCCTTTCAAGAAAGGTACTGCCTGGCACATGTTTCTTCCTCTTATCTCACTCCCAAGGGGTGTTTTGGAGCAGTGCTGTTAGGATGTCAAAGTACTGTCCCAGAAGTTCTTTGACCCTTCTATCAGGTTCCTGAACCTTCTTCCATGCCCTTCCTTGTTAAAAGCCAGCTCTAGCAAGAAGCTTGGTAAGCCTTGTGTAGGAATGAACCACTCTTGCTGGTGATCCTCAGTGTCTAACCAGCTTCCTCTCCCCTCAACACCTCCCAGGTGATGTCTCACCATGCAGCTCCACCTGCAATGAGTAGCCTGTGAGGTCAGCTCTACCCTGATGTCTCCTCCTAGTTCCCACTGACTTGGCCCTGTTCTTTGGCTGTGTCCATTCCCACTTCTTGTTTTTGCTATTTTCTAAGCTGAGACAAGTCTTTCTCCTCTCTTCCGAAAATCTCATTATTGAGGGCTCTATACTCATCTCAAGGGTTCTGGATTAATGTCTGCCTTCCTGTGCCAAGTTTTCACCAGATGATATTTTTCTTTGACAGGTGATGAGGAAGAGAAAGAAGAGACTGCAGCTCTGAGAAATGAGCAGGTGCAGCTCCACTGACAAAGGAGACACAGGTGACAGTCATGTTTTCACCTCCTCCACCCTTCATGCCATAAAATCCTTGTTATCCCAAGCAGGTGGGTCAAGGGCTGGGCTGAGCTGGCATTTGTTGCAGACACAGATCTATAAGCTATTCTAAAGCCTGGCTATTCCAAGTATGCGCTGTGGCTGAGCAGCAGCAGCTGCCAGTAGCTTGTTAGGAGGACAAATTCTCAGTCCTGGGAGTCAGGATCTGCACTGAATGAGATCAGCAGGGGATGGTGTGGCGCATCAATGTCTGAACAGTGCTTACTCCATCATCTCTGGAGACGGAGTAAGATGGAGAGACTTGTACTTGGCAGTGCCCTTCTCGGGGAGAAGGAATGCACAGTCCTGCGTTCAGCCATGAGGTAAGGAATAGGGTTGGAATGAGGTATATACAAAAGATTTGATATTCACATTCCATGCCGAAGTGGGACAGACCAAGTTCCTGAAGTGTTTTCTAATGGGACTAGGTCTAGTTAATTGCTGGGTCTTTGTTTCATGGAGTGGTGCGTGCAAGCTGAGGCACCATAAGGATTTTCCACTCCTGCCCTCACTAATAAACAATAAACCTTTATTTGGGGCTAGCACTGTGGCATGGTGGATTAAGCCATCTCCTGCAAAGGCAGCATCCGATGGGGCACTGGTTTGATTTTCAGCTTCTCCATTTCTGATCCAGCTTCCTGCTAACGTGTCCAGGAGGGCAGTTGAGGATAGCTCAAGTATTTAGGTCATTGTACCCATGTGGTAGAGCTGGATAAAACTCATGACTCCTGGCTTTGGCCTGTTGTAGCCCTTGGCCGTTATGGACACCTGGGGAGTCAAATAGTGGATGGAAGACTTCTCTTTCTGTTGCTACTTTTTCCTCTATAACGCTGCCTTTTGCATTATTTATTTATTTATTTATTTTTAAAGATTTATTTTTATTAGTTTTTCATTGGAAAGGCGGATATACAGAGAGGAGAGACAGAGAGGAAGCTCTTCCATCCGATGATTCACTCCCCAAGTGAGCGCAATGGCCGATACTATGCCGATCCGAAGCCAGGAGCCTCTTCCGGGTCTCCCACGCGGGTGCAGGGTCCCAAAGCTTTGGGCTGTCCTTGACTGCTTTCCCAGGCCACAGGCAGGGAGCTGGAAGGGAAGTGGGGCTGCCGGGATTAGAACCGGCACTCATATGGGATCCTGGGCGTGCAAGGCGAGGACCTTTAACCACTTGCGCCACCGTGCCGGGCCCAATTTATTTATTTATTTTTTAAATCCTGCATCACTTGCAGGGACTCTGGTCAATTTGCTGCCAAAGATTCAGTGGATGAGTCTCTATGGACAGGAAAAGACAAGGGAGTCTACATGTTCCAGTCAAATCCTGACTTTCAGGCCTCAGGAGTTGCTGAGAACAGACCAGAACTCTGTGTGGACACCTGCAGGACTTAGTACAAATCGGACCACCCCATCCAGCACGCACTGTGGAAGTCAGGCACTTTCATGCGGAACTCTTACCATTTTCATATTCTTTATCTAATTCACTGCCACCATACACTGAAAAAGAATAGGGGAAAAATAAATATTAATAGGAAATTCTTGCAGGTATATGGGAGACTCTAGTTTACACCTTTAACTCCTTCAGGGAATCAGTCTAAAAATCATCTCCTAAATCAGCCAGGAAGGCCGTTTGTTTTAGCATAGCAGGCATCCTTGGCCTTCAGCTCTCTGAGTCCTACAGCACAAGCTCAGGGAAAAGTGACTCTACCACCCGTTGCCTATTTTTCATCTTGCCCATCAAGCTCTGAGGAGCTGAGACAGCGTTGTACAGCCTTATGCTCAACCCCAGTACACAGTAGCCTATGGCACATGCTGCTGGCTGACTCTGGAGAGCCTGTCATTTTCATTCCTAATGTCATTGTAGATCTCCCCTCCGTTTTAAGAAGAGGATGTGCTTGGCTCTTGGACTTTTTCTTGCTTTGACACTAAGTTCCAGAAACAATGCTTTGGCTATTGGCCTTAATAAAGGCTTCTGGGCCCAGTGTGGCAGCCTGGTGGCTAAAGCCTTTTCCTTATACATGCCGGGATCCCATATGGGTACCGGTTCTAATCCTAGAGGCCCCACTGCCCATTCAGCTCCCTGCTTGTGTCCTGGGAAAGCAGTCAAGGAAGGTCCAAGCCTTGGGATCCTGCACCCATGTGGGAGAACCGGAGGAGGCTTCTGACTTCTGGCTTCAGATTGGTGCAGCTCCAGCTGTTGCAGCTGCCTGGGGAGTGAATCAGCAGATGGAAAATCTTCCTCTCTGTCTCTCTTCCTCTCTGTAAAGGTGGACTTTCCAATAAAAATAAAATAAATCTTAAAATAAAGGTCCCCATGTCTAAAATGGTCAAGAAAGAGAAGGTGCTCCTTAGCTGAGGGCATGCTCATCCTGCGTCATACTTTTTCCTGGATGGATTAGTGACTTTTGTATGTTTTTTAAAATTACCTCTGTGGAGGGTTTATCAGCGCAGTAACCATATTGGACTGTTTATGTTCAGTTCCTGGTTCTGCCTTGGATTCCTGCTACTTGATAATGAAAACCCTCGCAAAAAACAGGTAATGGCTCAAATGCTTAGGTCCCACCACCAACATGGGAGATTGGAATGAGTTCCTGGCTCCTGGTTTCAGCCTGGCCCAATCCTGGGGGTAGAGAACCAGTGTGTCGGCTGTCTGTGTCTTTCTGTTTGTGCCTTTCAAATAAATAAAGACAATTGAAATCATCTGAAATTTTACCTTCCGTTTCAGACTCCAGGGAAGTTAGCATCGTTGTTTCTTTTTCTGCTTTGGATTTTGCTATTAAAGATGTAGCTGTTAAAAGACAGAAGAGGATGTCCATTAAAGGTTGTAGCCTTACACTTTTGGTGGGTTCCTAAGGGGTAACTAGGATCTGAGGGTCTGTCTTGGTACCAAAGCAGATGGTCAGAGTGGAAGAACTGATACTGGAACTTCTGTTGGATGTCCCCAACCTTCCTCATCCTCCCACAACCCAGGTCTGCCACAAGTCAGTGATCAGAAAATATTGCCCGTGATGGCCTTCCTTCTGGTCACACTGGATAGTTTGGGTTCCCAGGACAACTAGGATGCCTGGGCACAGGGAGACTTCAGAGACATTCCCCTACTGCAGAAGCCATAGCACTGAGTGGCTCCAAGACCACATATACCCACAGTCGGATACCCGTGTCTCTGGTATTCCACTGCCAAGGGCTCCTTGAAGAGTAGATATGGAATGCTGGCTGGGAAATATAGGATTGTCTAATATAGAGCCACTGTGATGTACAATGAGTAGCCTCTGTACTTTTTTGTTTTTAAGAACTGCTGTTAGTTCTTTGGTAGCCTTGTTTATATCTTCTGGAATTTTGTCTTTTCCTTTTTGTTCATCCACTAACCTGTCTCCTGCCTATTATTTGCACATGCACATGTGTGCTCTACTCTACCTTCTGTTCTTAATCTCTACTTCTCTAGCAGAAGTAGAGAAGGACCGTGATGATGATGAGGTGAAGGCTGACCTGCTCCACCTGAGTATGGGAGTGCCAGCAGTTGAGCCTGGCCTGTGGTGTAGGACCCTGGCAGCAGCCATATCCTCAGGTTCCTCGGTGTCACACTGATAAGAAACTTTCCAACTCGTCCTACCACAGTAGAGCTCTCATTGTAAAGAACCATTTCCCTTTTCTTGATCTGTATCTGAAGTTTCCGTTAGTGGTTCCCCATTCTAGCCCATTAGTTCAGATGGGAATTTCAGGTCTCTGCTTGGAGTAGCAGATCATGAAATATTTAAAGACTGTGTATTTTCCAAACCTAACATTCTCTCTTTGCATCAATGGTTCTTAGTGTGTGTAAACCCAGCCTTTTTTTTTTTTTTTTGAGTCTTGGCCAAGCTGTGTCTGGCCTTTATAGAGTGTTTGCTCTGCATTGAATGTACCATTCCAGGGATGGCCCTTCACTGTGGGCCAGAGCAGGACTCTCACCCTTGTATAGTTTCTTACTTACATTTAGTGCTATTATTATTATTATTAAGTGCTATTATTTTCTCCCCACCACTCAGCTCTGCTTCCAGCTTATCCGAGTTGGTGGTTGAATAAAACATCTAATAGCAGTCTGTGTCTCTCCATCAAGTACTTTTCTGTCCTGTTGTTTTCTGGAGCCTACTAGCAGAATCTCCTATAAATTATTAATGCTTTATATCCTGTTTGATTCTGGTTCTATGTTTCTGCCCATCAATGTCTTTGATAATCTGATTGCATGGTCCCTGTAGTCCTGTAGCTTCAGATCATGTACATTCTTGCTTATTTGTATCCAAAGTCTATCATAAGAATGCTGCACTGGACAGAGCCCTGTGGCTGTCTACTGGAAGCCAGGTTGACCCTGATCCATTAAGCAGTGTTTCCAGTGGCATCCAATCAGCCCTTGCCCCATCACCTTACATTATCATGCTCCTCATGTCTATCTTATCTAAGAGCATCAGGAAGTTTTTGGAAATGACATGTCTGTGGAATTTGGTCATATTGGATTACCGCAGTTTGTTGCTGTAATAGCTTGTTCAAAAGCCAGTATTACATGATTTTCCTTGCTGATGGCTGTTGGTTTCTTGTAGTCATTTTGCCTCCAATATTTTTCCCAGATTGGCACTGACTCATTTCTTTGATTTATGACAATTCCACAAAATCCAGAAACAATAGGATTCGTCTATGCCCTCACTATATATTCTGGAGTATATTTTGTTTAGGTCAAGAGATAGAAGCTACTCTTCTTTTCTGACATTTATGTCAGTTTTTGATTTCTGCTATTTCTTACCTAATTTTCTTGTACCCTCTTCAATCCAAAGATGACTTTCCTTCTCAGTGAAGTGAAAATGAAACAGAATTGAGAAACCTGACTCTGTCTGAATCATTCATCAACATTGTGCTATGCAGCGGTGGTCTGGCTTGACCCACTTCACTCCAGTCATACCTTAAAAGAACCTCTGTCTTTCATTGGTGACTACATCATCATTGTTATCATCTTTTTGATCAGCATATTTACTCTGGAATCCAGTTTTCCTGACACTTTTCTTAAAGTCTGGAGCTATTTTCCTGCATGCAATGGCTGAAAACATTGGCAAATTTGTAAACTTTGCATGTGATCTGTCCACTGCAGGTTAAAAAAAATACCAATTTGCATTTGGGGGACTTTCTATTCCTTTTTTTCCATCTGGCCAAGGGCTTGAAGCATCACTTCTGCCCCAGCATCTCGATAGGGATATATTTCTAGCCACAGCCTTCTTCCTACCAAAACAGGTTCTTCGGAGAAGGATATTGCCTTTTATCACCGTGATCAAATACTGAATCAGAATGGGCTCAACAACAATTTCACAAGTATTTAACAAATATTTATAGGTGCTCATTCTGGACCAGCCACTAAATCTTGAGGATTTTTTCAAGCGTGGATATAATGCTTAGAGTTAGACTTTCTGGTCTGTTTAGTTTATAACCCTGCTTTGAGCCTGGATAGATAGATCCACAAAGGTATAAATAGTCTTTCTCATCCTCCTGAACACCTGCTACAGATCATGAGGCCTTTCCTATGCTTAGAGCATTCTTTCCATGTCAGACCTGTCACCCTCTGGAGTCACAGACTCTAAGGATTTATCTGAGTGTTCGCTTTCACATGTGACTCTAAGTGCTATTTGTGCAGAAGGGTTATGCAATGGAAAGTATTGTTTCTGACTTATAGGGATTTAATATCTCCATAGTAGAAAAAAAATCAGACACAAGAGCTGAGCGTCTTTAAAACATATCCTAAACTGGAGGTTGGCTGCTTTCTGCCATGTTCATGTGCCTGGGAATCCTCTGGGCTCTGATAATGATGCAGATTTCACACCCATTCAGGTAGGAGTTCAGACCAGGCCTGGGAATCTGCATCTTTATAAGCATCCTGCAATGGGACACAATGGGGTGTGTTCTCCTCTGCTGCCTCTCAGTTGCATCACCCCAGTCCTTTGTATTGTTTTGCTATGGCCTCCTGTATTCCTCCAACAAAGAAATGGGTGGCTTCCACCTTCCCTGAGAGCACATCCCCCCAACCTCCCTTTTTCCCCATGCTTGGGACTATTTAAGCAATCTGCTTTGCAACTGCAGAAGGCCCGGCTTCTCCCTACTGTGTGAATGACTACCCCCGTGTCCCTTACCTCCTCCCGACTTGGTTTTGAGCTCCTCTATCTCCTCCTCTACTTCACCTCTGAGGAGGTCTCCCACTCTCACACCTCCTCTTCCAGTCTGCGACTGGTGTGTGTTGGATATGAAGCTGAGGAAGGTGCATGTTGCTCCTCAATAGTTGTTAGGTTTGAAAAGCACTTAAAGTTCTTAATGTTCTTACACGCAGCTAATTTCCCGCAGCCTCTCACGTACGTCATGAGGTATTAGGAGGTCCTTTATTCCAGCAGGGTAGGAATAGGAGTGGTGGTGGAGGGGGACAAAACATTCGGAGAAGTGTCTCCTGCCATGGGGGCAGGATGGGGGCTGCCAGGGCAGGGGAAGAAGGCAAGATGGAGGACAGGGGAGAGCCAGGTAAAAAGGGAAGAGCGAAGAAGGGGAAGAGAAAAAGCGGGGTACACGTCGAGGATCATTTGTACAACTTAGGTGAGCCTGTGAGGTGTGCGGGACATGGGGAATTGGTTGAGAGGTGGGACTGTGGGCGGGTCCCAAGGTACTGGTGACAGATTATCTGAGCAATAGGTGGGTGGAAACTAGGGGGAGGGGTCGCGAGAGAATGAGGGTTGGGGTTCTCAGGTAAGACGCCAGGAGGTCACATTTCATTGGTGGATAACCTGAACTTCGAGCTGTGGGAAAGGGGAAGCAGAAGTGGTGCTGGGTCCAAGATGGGATGTTAAAATCACTCCTCACAATAGCCCCTGGTTCACTTGGGATTTTGTCTCTGGGGCTGAGAACAGGGACTGTTTAACAATTAGTGTAGGACATGACCTGTGACCTTCTCATTTTTGCTTTTGTTTTGTTTATTTATTTTTCCATTTTGGGTTGTGAAATCTAGTTTCTTGACCCCCGGAGGGAGCCAGTGGAGAGGGACGGTTCTTTTCCAGGTTTCTTGGCAGCTGACCTGGCCATGTGGCCCAGAGCAATGCTAAATCTCCCCATGCTCTGTCAGTTTTAGTTACACCTGCTGATTGTGTGGGCTAACTCTCCAGGAAGACACACTGTCCCTCACAGGCAGAGGGGAAAGCCCTGAACTACTTACTTGTTCTTATGTTTTAATCCCTGATGCAATGACTCTGTCCACAAGTATCTATGAGCTCCTGGTGTGTGTCATTGAGCCTGACTTGAGGGGTTCAACATGCTAGCTCAGGCCATGGCTATTACAGTGTAGAGTGACAGACAATGCCTGTGAGTGGTCAGACTTTTATTAAACACTCAGCCTATGATGACTTTCAGGAACTCAGTATTGGAAAGGGACACCCACACATAGACCAAATATACATAGTGCTTACAATCTAGAGACATGCAGATGTCATTGGCTCTCTAAGTCAGTTTAAAACCCAACATGATGGTGGTTTCACAGGGCATGTTGAAGAACCATCTTGGCAGACCTTCTTTCTGGGGGTTCGAATGGACTGGAACTTCTTTCCCTCCCACAGAGGCCTCCCCACCACACCTCCCAGTCTCCTCCTCTCCCATATCTTTTCAAGCTTACACATTGGCACTTTAGAGACAATTACCCCGTAAGTGACTTCCAGGATCTTGCTTATGAGTACTTAGATGAATGCTCAGATTCCTCCCAGAAATCATGCTGATGGACTTGATAATGGTTCTAGCTCGTGAGGCTCTATGAGGGCCCACACACTAGTAAACATCCTAAATGAATCAATTGAGCCCATAAAATTCTCCATCACATGCCAACTGGTGTGATCCCGTCTTCCATCTCTCTATCCCCTCTTTTAGGGTTTCTGATTGCTAATTTCATTAGGTCATATCTGAGCTACCAACTGTAGCAGGCATGAAGAGTGGTGGGGAGGTGAGGCCAGGGTGATCTAATGTACTGCTGTGGTGGCTGCAGATGTGAAACAAGGCTACAAATCACTGACGGACTGACCCCACCTTGGCTCAATTCAAATGATTAAATACTAAATTATGAATGATGTTCAGCCTTCTATCACTGGGTGCCCCAGGGTGAAGGGCCCTTTGGCATAATTGGGTAGGGAATTAGGACCCAATGCAGTCTTGCCAAGCCATGTCCTGGGAGCCAGGAAAACCTACTGTGTGGGCTAGTCCTGAAGCGGGTGTGGCTGTGACCTACTGCATATTGAGGTGAGTCAGAGGTGGCCAATACCTTAGTGGCCCTTGTCCGTGTAATTATCTGGAGAAGGTCTATCCCTCACAGGGAACCAGGCTGTGATCTGAGAAGGAAATGGTCATTGTCTCTGAAGGCAATCATGCCTGTGTTCATGTACCAGGAGAACAGGGAGACTTAGGCAGGAGCCTGGGAAGAGACTTGAGATGGTCCAAGATAATGTTTGGTTTTGCACTTGGCTGTTTTCTCTAATGGAGTTCTGGGATGGGTAGATAGCAGGTAGCAGGGACCATAGAGGAGTTTACTTCTTACTTAGAATATGATTCCAGATAACTCAAGAAGCAATTTCATCCCACTAGGGTGAGAGATGATATTCAAGTCCCAGTATTTCACACACAGGATGTGTGGCATGAGTTCCCTCTCCACACCCTCCTTCCCTACCCATTGCCTCAATCCCACAGAGACACTGGGTGCATGGTGACCAGCAGGGTGCAGTTTCCCTTACCTGGCTTGCTCTCATAGGTCCATTCTGTCTGACTTTCCTGGTCTCGCATGGAGGAGAAAGGATATGTGTAAGTGTAGTATTCGTTGAAAGCTTCTGAGGTGGGAGGAGGAGCAGCGTAGGTAAGTTGAAAAGGGGAGTGAGTAGTCACCATTGTGATGCCAGTGGCTGAGCTCCTAAGAGACAGGACGACAAGAGTTTGGTCAACTTCCAGAGGCCAGATTAGTACCCTAGTTCTAGAGCATACAGGGATGAGATCCCATTGGGATGCCAAGAGACAACACAGATCCACTTGAGAAAACTCTGTAAAGCCGCAGCTGCCCAACAAACAGAGGAGGTCATTTTTGAGGAAATGTTGGCCACCAGGTCATTTCCAACTCTGCTATGTACACCTGCCTTGGACTGGGATATTGCTGGACCTTCTGGGGGTATACCCATCAAGGCTTTGCTGTGGTCTTAGCTCCCAGGAATTAGAACTGGAGTTTTGGTTTATCTGGAAATCACACTAGCTTTGTGTTCCATCCAGAAGCTTGGGGAGTAAGGAGGAACTATTAGATTCTAGAAGAGATTCATTAAAAGCCTGTTTTTGTGGTTTCTGTGGAGTGGGGAAGGGGACTGACTGGTAGATGCCTAGGGCACCTGTGGCAGGTGTGAGCATGTGAGTGGGGGAGCTGCTCTGGTCCTGGAGCAGCTCTTCCTCTGGTCCTGCTCTGCCCTTCCTGTTTATAAGACACATGGCCATGCTATGCTTGACTTGTACTTGACTTTTTCCCTTCAACCATGCCTGCCTTCACACACACACACACACTGACTCTTCTTGTCTAAAGGAGTTTAGGAAGGATTCAGTCTCTTAGCTCTAAAATGTGAGGACCTGTCTGAGCATGCTAAGGACCAGATCTTGCTTCAGGGGACCCAAGACCAATGAGCGTATGGGTACTGTTAAAGCTCCCTGGGGCCTCTCTGATCCTCAAGGGTCTGTGCAGAATCTGGGATGAGAACCTCCAGTGCAGAAGTGTGATTTAAATATGAGATAGGCATTTGTGTCTTGAGCAAAGCCACTGAAGCCATGCTTTTGCATTCTCAGCTTCCTAAGTTTCTACCTGGTGGCTCAGTGGTAGCAGCTTGGGGAAGAACATCGACCTGTAGCCCTTGCTGTGTGTCTTGCGTGATGACCATTGCTCTTAATGCTCCCCTTGAATTAGTGTTCATGAAATTCTCACCACAGTCTCATGAAGCTGCAGCTCTAACTCTCCATATTTTCCAGGTGAGATAACGGAGGTACAAGTCGATGGAGTGGCTGTCCTACAGCACACAGTTGTGGGAGAGTGGAGGCTCGGACCTTGGGCTTCTGACTCTCTGACCTGCCTGTTCCTTTTTTTAAATTATTATTATATTTTTGACAATCTTTACATAGTTAATTAGGGTAAAGGTTCAAGGGCTATAGGAAAGTGGGTAAGACTATTATTTCCATATTGTTTCCTTCATGTTTAAAGGGGGGTATTAAGGGAGAAGGCCCACCCAATTTCCCACCCACCCCCCACGTCCTGGATGTAGGGCATGCTCTGAGGTTCTTCCTCAAGTGGTTTTGATAGTTCACCAGTTATGAATCGCTGCCAATCTTGCCACTCCAAGCACTATGCGGTCTTTGAAGAATCCACTGGTTGACGTAGTCCATCATAGAGTCTCTGTTTGCCCCGTATTTCGCTGCCAACATATAGCTGAGATGGTTGGTTGACCTGTTCTGTCTTCTCTCTTTTCTTGGTTAGGGTTCTGAGTCCAGCATTTAGATTAGGAAGATCTCCAAAGAAACTTTGTCTGAGGTATGCTCAAACCAGATTCTTGTATGTGCTAGCAAGTACAGGGGCTGGCACAGTCCATCGCCCTGATCAGCTGGTGGTTGTGATTGCTGGGTTGGCTCTGTTCTCACTCCCGACTTCCACTGGAGCCAATGGGTGTTGTAGTCCAGCCTGGTTCTGCCCAGCACATACTCGGCCCTCGCATAAAACAGTGGGAGCTATAGCCTAGTTGGAGCAACCCACAATAACCCCCACCAGGCCTGCCCCCTACCCTGGTTTGCTAGTATGTGTAGCAGTAGTCCAGTCTGTCCCACACCCCATTCCACCCCAGCTGCTGTCTTAGTTTTATGTCCTCCCGTGGAAGTGGTAACCCAAGAGGGAGGAGCCCACTATTTCCCTCTCAGGCCTCTCCCACTTCCAGATTGTGCTCTTCCAGGTAGTTCTGTGGTTTGACTTGACAGAACTAGAACCAGTGCCAGCTTCTGCCAGCTGATGCTGTGGCTAAGCCCAAACAACCCTCACCCACTCTAATTTTGTTTGCACCACTAGGAATAATCAGCCCAGCCTGGCTTTTCCCTGATCTAGTCCACATGAGGCGCACAGGTGTTGTAACCCTGCCTAGTCTGGTCTGCCCTCATCCCAGCTCATGCTCTCCAGCAGGAGTAGCTGTCCAGCAATGGAATCCTCCCTAATTCCCCTACCAGCTCTGCCCCCTCCCTTCCTGGTTCTCATGCTGGTTGGGCGCTGCTGTCACATCCGGTACAGGCAACCTCACCTTGGCATTCTGTATTGTGCACTAGTCTTTGTCGTGACCGAACCTGGCTCATCCCACTCTGTTCTGGTGCTTGGATTTGCCAGTGGATGACGTGGACAGATTCACCCTGGTCTTCCCCCGACCCATGCCAAATGTATGCCAGTGGGTAACTTTCCATGGCCTGCTCTGGGCTGTTTCCTATCATGTTTCTTGTGCTTATCTGCCGGGTCTGTGTCCTGCCAGAGGAATTGCCCAGGCTCCTCCATCAGAACCTCTCCCAATGCCAGATTTTGCGCATATCAGTGGGTCCATGAGCCAGCCCTACTCAGTTCACCTCCTGTCATAGCAGGAATAGTGGCTTTTCCTGACTGGCCTTCAAGCCAAACTGGTCCTTGCTGTTGGATGTTTCAGCCCAGCCATGGCTTGTCCATACCCACATATGGCTCACGCATGGCTCAGTATGGGTTGAGACCTTGCCTAGTCCATCCCACATCTGCCCTGGTCCTTCAGGACACCAGAGGGTGTTGGAGTCTGGCTTGGCTCGGTGCATCCAATCCCAGTCCACACTTGTGCCAAGGGAGACTACAACTGTTTCCTGTTCAGAATGCAGCCCCCATTCCAGGCCACACGCCCATTGGTGGGAGCCTTAACCCAGCTAGGGTTGTCTGCTTAGCTCCCCAACTGGGCCTGTTCCCAGCCATAGATCACATGCATGCCAGTGGTTGCTCTGACTCAACTTGGCTCAGCCCCTCACCTGTCCCGACCTCTGCCTTAGACACTGTGGATTAGCATTTCCTGGTTCATGCAGACCAGTTGGTGCAAGAGCCTATCTCGGCATGACCTGTGCTCCCTCTTGGTCTCTAGTTTCACTTGTAGGCTAAGGTTTGCTCAGTCCTGCCTCGTCCACCCTGTTCCATTACCAATTGACACATTTGCCAGTTTGTGGAGCTACTTTTCCCAGATTCTCCGACACCCAGGTCTGGACCACATGTTCACCAGCAGGAGCTATGACTCGCCAAGGGAGTTTCTCAAGTTCCTCCACTTAATCCACTCCCAGACCCAGTTCTCATGCATACCATTGTGTTTAGGCCAGGTTCAGGCAAAGTCTGGCCTTCCATTTGGCCTTTTATGAGCTGGTGAACGTTGCAACCCTGCCCACCCCACACCCTATTCAGGATGCACATTCGGGTGCTGCTGCCCTGGCCAGTCCAGACTATTGGGGGTTCCTTTATCTGTGATTCAAGGCAGGCTCCTTGGTCACACCTAGCTTAGTCCATCACCACCCCAACTCTTGAGCTAACCAGTGGGGCTAGACTTATTTCCAGAGGGTTTGGCCCACACATCCCTCACAGAATTTACCCCCAGTTATGGTTCTCGAGTGCTAGTTAATGTAATCGCCCTACTTAATGTGACCCTTCTCTTGATCCATCATCATGATTCTGCTGGACAAGCCCCGAGCCATAGCTTTTGCATGGACTGGCATTTGGTGGTCAGAACTGTTCAGTGATTACAAGTTTTTCAAAGCAAGAGTTACTGTCATTGGGAACCTTTACAATTACTTTATGTCCTAGAAGCACAATGGGTTCAACTTGGAGCTACCTAAGCAGCTATTCAAAGAACCAAACCCCAGAGCTCCCTGGCCAGGTGGCCAGCAAGTGGAGCCTGGCACCAAATGGCACACTGGCCGCCTGGGGACAGCTCACCACGTGCACATGGTGGCTGTCCTCTGGGATCCAGGCATGAGACGCCCCGTCCTGGGACCCACCAGCAACTGGGAGGCTGCTGGAAGTTTAAACTCCCAGGCCCAATGACCTGCCTGTTCTTGATGGTGGCTGCAACACTAACAGGCTTATTCCCTGTCATGTTATATGTGATTTGTGGGTATCAGCAGCTGAAGTGAAGGAACCTTAGAAAAGCCCTTGCATGTGTGTCCCCTTTAAAGAGGGAGTTGCTTGTCTTTTTCCCCTTGCTGGGCCTCTGGGGACGGACAATATGGATTGGGGGTGGGGGAAGTGTGTGGTCCAAAGTAGGAGTTTGGCTGCTACTGAGTTTGGAGCACCTGACCTGGCCAAGGTAAAGGTGTTCTGTGTGGGAACCATAGTCCCATAAGTTCTAACTTTGGGCTTCTCTGCTAGGCAAAGCTGGGATTCCCTTCCTGGTTGTCACCATAGCCAAACTGGCCTCTTGCTCTTCCTGGGATCTAGTGTTTACCCACTTTACTAGCAGAGGCACATGAACAGCTTCTCCCTGCAATCATGGACAGAAAGTGGTGTGTCCCCACAGTGGCTTCTCCAGAGCCCAGCACTCAGATGTTATGACCCTACAGGCTCCCTGGGGACTGGCTGGCACAGGTCAGGTCTGCAGCTGCAGCTTGGCTGAGAGACACTGCATGCTCATTCAAATCTTGGAAGTGAGCCAAGCTTTCTTCTCTTCCTCTTGGGCATTCAGTCAGCTGTTCTCCAGGCAGGGCTGCTGGTGAGCGATTTTCGGCTTCTCCCACAGGAGACCTCCTTCCATTCAGATGCCTCTGTCTTTTTGCCTTCACTTGTGTCTTACTTGTGAGCCACTGGGATGGCAGAAGTGAGCAGAACTGTGGCTTCTAGAAGAGTCCATCCAACCCTCTTCCCTCAGGGGACCTGCTCCCTGAACCCTAACTAACCCCATGACACACTCTCCCTTCTGCTGGGATCACTAAAGATTCTGAAACATCACCCCAAGTGTGAATTTACATTTGACTTATCCCCAGAGACAACGATTACCTTGCAATAGGACTAGATTTGCTTTGCAGTGGAAACATTGTCTTGAGTTCTATTGGAAAAACAGAAAGACACTATTGGTCAATGAATAAACAAATTCTCTTCCTACTAAAAAAATGCATCATTGAGGCAGATGTGTGGGACAGCAGTCAAGTCAACAGCATGGAACATCTGCATTTCAAATTGGACTCCTGCTTCGAGTCCTGGTTCCAGTCTTGATTCCAGCTTCCTGCTAATGTGCATGAACAGTTGGCTGCCTCTCCCCTCCGTCTTATCAACATCTTTCACATCTTTCTTCTTACATATGCAAAATTGTTAGGTTCCCTGGAAATGGCATTTGGAACACCAACATCCAACCAGAAATTCAACTGAATCAAATCATTTAGTCTAGAAACAGCACTTGAAGCTGCTAAAAAGGAGCTAGCAAGGGTGAAAACAAAAACCCAAATGAAAGCATTATGTGTATCAAAATCTATTAGGTGAAATTATGATTAATCAATGTGGGTCACTTATTGTGATCTTATGAATCAGGATCAAAAAATGTAATGATCATCACATTTATTTGCCACAAAGCAGAATTCATCATTAGGAAGATCTTGGTTTTGTAAAAGCACAATGGAGCTTTGTTGTGGTGCAGTGTCACTGGATACCATGTTTTACGGAAGTAGGGGTAGCAATGCAGTACCTTCTTGCTTGTGAGATCAGACAATTGTATTTTTAGAAAGATTTATTTAAAGTCAGAGGTTGAGGCAGAGAGAGAGAGAGAGAGAGGGAAAGAGAGAGAGAGGCTGAGAGAGAGAGAGGCTGAGAGAGAGAGAGGGAGAGGGAGAGAATCTTCCACCTGCTGATTCACTCTCCAAATGGTGGTGACTGCCGGAGCTGAGTCTGTTCGAAGCTGGGAGCCAAAAGCTTCTTCTGGTCCTCCTCTTTGAGCCCCAGGGAGTAAAGTCTTGGGCCATCCTCTTCTGCCTTCCCAGGGTATTAACAGAGAGTTGGATTGGATGTAGTGCTGCTGGGATTTGAACCAGTGCCCATATGGGAAGATTAGCCGGCGATGCCATCATGCCAATCCCCAGAAGACTATTTTCACACCTTACAATTTTATGATGTGGGAGAGCTTCCAAAGACTTTTAGATATGTTGCTTCATCATCTACTCATTGTCATCACAATGTAAAGATGGGGATGAAGGTCTCTGCACCTGGGGAAATTGCACTACTGATGGCCAGTGGCATGCTCAAGGTCATGGGTCCCACTGTGTGTGGGATCTTCTGACTTCAACACGACGATATTACACCACACTCTAACCCTCCCTGGAAGGCCAGCCAGATGTGACTTAGCAGCAACTGATGTGTATTTATATTAAAGCTGGTCATTTGACTTACTGGATTTCTCTTACAAAGCTGGCTCTTGACAAGTCATCCCTTTAAAGAACAGAGAAAATTGAAGGCTGCTTTTTCAGACCTAATCCGATTTGTCTAGATCCAAGAAGACCTGAGAAATTAATCTTGTTGAAAAGACACAAGGCAGAGGGTACAGACCCTTCCCCCATCCCACTTGATTACACATCTCCTATCTCTTGATTATGTCCATTTCACAGAGGGAAAATGAGGCCAAGAGAGAGTGGGCACTCACAAATCAATGTGGGGTGGGGAGTAACAGCAGATAGCATGGCATCACGCTAATACCAGTTAACACTATACAGCCTCACCATGTGCCTGGCCTAGCTCCTAATGCTTTCTATAATTTAACCCCTTTAACCCTCACAAACTATTCCTAGTTTACAGTGAAGAAAACCAAGACAAAGGGTGGCTGAAGTGATTTTCTTGAGCTCATGCAGCTAGGAATTGGGAGAGAGCTTGTGTGCAAGTTAGGCCAAGGCTTCTGAGAGACATGAAAAAGGACAGCACTCACGTCTCTCTCTGCCCTGCTAGCCTGTGGCAGACATTGCCGATTCATCCCAGCATTCTTCTCTGCTGAACCCAAATGGGGCCTAGGCTCCTCAACACAGTGCTCTACCACTGACCTCTAGGACCGAATCCATCAGGACAGATGGGAGCCTGTTTGTCAGCTCCAGGCTTACTTTATAAATGTTAATGAATTCATAAAGTTAAACTAAAAATATGTGTGTGTGTGTGTGTGTGTGTGTGTGCATGGACATAATGGACATACACATGCTTTTGTGAGTAATTGATCACTTGATTTAGTCTGCATTTGCAGTGGGTTAGCAAGGCAGTCTTGCTAGGCACTAAGGTACAATATAAGAAAGCAAATACAAATGTCTCATAACACTTGGGTACTAGAAGGCTATTCTACATAAAGACAAATTGTGATTTAAATTCTTTTGAAAGGTTAAGAATTCTTCTGCAAATCTCTTCTTAACTTGTTTTGTATAATCTGGCTTGGTACCCTGTGTTTTTGCAGACTGAGACATTCCTTCATGTGCTTTTAAAGATATTTTAGCATTCCTCTGACTGCTTTTTTTGTTTTCAGTGTCTCTTCAATTTTTTCCTAGCAGGGCATTTATTTTCAAAGCTTTTGCTTTATACACAGTTCCATTCACTTGACAGCACTGCATTTGTCCTACTCTAGTGGGTAATATATTTACCAAGATCCAGTGCGGAGAGGGACATGTTAAGAATGTTTGATTCATACTGTGCAAAAGAAAAGCCCTGAATGCCATTTTTCAGTGGTAGAACTATACTTTGTTTTTGAACAGTAGGGATATTAGGATTCCAAGAGAGTGCATAATGGTGGATGCACAGAGGAGAGGGTTTCCCAGTGGTAGAGGATTTATCTCCAATGCAACAACCACATTTCCACAAAGGGAGTAGGAGTGGAGGATGACATATCTGACTTGATGGAGGGAGACATAAAGGCAAAGAACACCCGTGTGGCTGCTGAGAACACCTAACATGCAGGAGACATGTTGTGTGGACTCAGTCTTTTAGGAATTTGGAAATCCAAATTTCCAGCGATGCCTATGTTGGGAACAGGATTGGATACAGAAAATAAGTTGAGTTCTATCTCTAGATTAGCTATAAGATGATGCAGGTGACCTGGTGTTTTTAAAATTTCTGCACCTACATAAAGGATATGGCAGTCCATTGTAATCTGCGGGACACCTGGTACCACAATAGAGGACGGAGGACAGAACATATCGATCATCTACCCCAGCCATGTGCTGGCAGTGAAAATCTGGGCAAACGGAAACTCTAAGGTGGACTATGTCAGCCAGTGGATTCTGGAAAGATTTCATCATGCTTGGAATGGCAAGATTGGCAGAAATTCCGAATTGCTGAACCATCAAAACCACTTGAGCAGTGTCACGGACCCTGGGATGGGTGGGAGGCTGGGTGAGGCTTCTCCTTTTATCTTCCTCCTTACTGAAGATACAGAAAAATAGAGAGAACATGGAAATAATGGTCTTACCCACTCTCCTGTAGTCCTTGACCCTTTGTGCCCTAATCAACTATGTAGAGATTATCAATATAAAAGAATAATTAAAAAGATTTTCTACATCTAGTTGGATGTGGCCATGAAGGCACACTATCAAGAGAAAAGTAATGAGGGGCCTGGTATAGTTGCTTAGCGGCTAAAGTCTTCACCTTGCACTCACTGGGATTCCATATAGCTGCCAGTTCTAATCCTGGTGGACCCACTTCCCATATAACTTTCTGCTTGTGACCTAGGAAAGCAGTTAAGCATGACCCAAAGCCTTGAGACCCTGCATCCGTGTGGGAGACCCGGAAAAGGCTCTGGGTTCCTGGCTTCGGATTTACATAGCTCCAGCCGTTGTGGCCGCTTGGGGAGTGAATCATGGGATGGAAGATCTTCCATGTATATCTGATTTTCCAATTAGAAAAGAAGAGTCATGGGTAAATGTTCATTAGCCATGGCTGACAAATTGCACACAGAGATTACTGCCAAATACAACAACCCAAATTAAGGAAACATTGCCAACTGCAAAAATACTACTGGAAAAATGTTAGCCCTAGAAGGAGAGCAAGTATTCCAAAGTCAACGACTCACTGAAGAGTAACATTTCTTCCAGGCGGCCAAGTAGGCACCCCAAGAAACATACTTGTGTCTAGTGACCTCACAACAACCTGTAGAGATATATTCTAAGAAATAACTTAGCTCCATGGCTGTTCACCATGGAATGAACTCTTTTCAGAAGAGTAATACAAAATCAGAGGCAATAAAAAATCAATGACAGCAGACTGATGAAAATGTTGTAGTTCGTCAACACAACGAGATGAAATGTTTTGTAGGAAATTTAACAGCATTAAATATGAAACATGACAGGTGTTCATATATGTAAACCTTATTTATTATTATAATATCTATACTAGGTGAATTTTAAAAGGTTCATGGAAATACGTATTATGAAAAATCTATGCCTGGATTTTAATTTCTTTTGCACAAAATGAATTTATCTGTTGATTCAATTTCTGTGAACTTTTTGAATTTCCTTTTTAGAAACAAATGTACCTTAAAAAGCAGATTGCAGGTCTGGCATGGTAGCCCAGTGGCTAAAGTCTTTGCCTTGCATGTGCTGGGATCCCATATGGGTGCTGGTTCTAATCCTGGCTGCTCTGCTTTCCATTCAGCTCCCTACTTATGGCCTGGGAAAGCAGTCGAGGATGGTCCAAAGCCTTGGGACCCTGCACCTGCATAGAAAACCCAGAAGAGGCTCCAGACTTCTGGTTTCAGATCGACTCAGCTCTGGCCATTGGGGCCACTTGGGGAATTAATCCTCAGAGGGAAGATTTCCTCTTCTTTGTATATCCGACTTTCCAATTAAAAAATATTTGTTTTTTTTCAAAAGCAGACTGCAAATACAAGAAAGTATGATATTTGCATATGTAATGTATATGTCTGAGGAAATATAACTAAAGCATGAAAAGTAATTATTGTCTCTGTGTGACAGCAACTCTTGTCTTCTTCTTTTTGCTTACAGTAAAGTATAAATTTGAAAAGTTGATATTAGGGGATATTGTTTCAGTGCAGTGGGTTAAGTCATTGCTTGTATTGTCAGCATCCCAGATAAGCATCTGTTTGGATTGCGGCTGCTCCATATCTGATCTAGCTCTCTGCTGATATGCCTGGGAAAGCAGCACAAGATGACACAAGTCCATGGGCCCCTTCCATGCATGTGGGGAACTTGGATGGAGCTCCAGGTTTCTGGCTTCAAATGGTCCAGCTCTAGCCATTGGGCAATTTGGGGAGTGAGCCAGTAGATGGAAGATTCTAACTCTGCCTTTCAAATAAAGAAAAAAAAGACTACTTCTGTGCAAAACGTTTTGAAATCTATGTGTGCTATTTTCATAATATTCATTTCCATGAAATTTTTGTTGATTCCTCATATGCAATTTCTGCAACATCCACAGTGAATATGTACCACTTGCGCAATACTGGTAAAGGTAAGAAATAAGTTATTGTTACTATTAATTATTATAAAGATGCATTTTGTGTTCTTGAGGTCTCCCTGACTGTTTTGTGTGCTCCATGCTCTGGGGACATGACTCTTACAGTTGTGAACAGAACGGGGCCAGTAATGAGTCAGCACCATGGACAGGGCCAACTTCTAGTTGAGCTTTGCTCTTTTTTCTGGGCTGGTGGTGAGATAGAGCTACCATCCTAGAGCTTCCTCATAGAGATACTCTCTCTCTTCCAGAGGCTTTCCCTTCTGGATGCACTCTCTCTCCTCTGGATACTCACCCTCTTTCAGATATTTTCCGTACAGGTAGTCCTTACTGGCTAGATACTTTTCATCATATAGGTATTCATCTTCCTGCAGATACTCTCGCTCTGAAACCGATTCCTCTTGTTCTTTGCCTTCTGGAGATGGAGATATAGCTTGCAAGTCCCGGTCATCTACTTTGGCTTCAAAATCCTCTTCCTCTGAAGACAAAATCGGTGTGGAATGCTGGGAAGTGGTGGGTGGGCTAGCAGGGGATGCAATGGATGAGTGACTATTTTTAGCTGACATGATGAGGAAGTTTTTGGCAGGCAAACCTCTTTAGCAGCAGGTTAAGTCACTTTATTGTCCTGGGAACCAAAAAAGGAGTAAAATCCTATTAGTAAATGGTCAATACTGCATATTGATTTCGATCTGTTTTTGTGCATTTATTTCATCCAGTCATCTTTGGAGGACCCTTTAAGCATGCAGATGGAAGCCAATGAAAAGGCAATAAGAGAGAAAGAGAGGGAGCAGGGACTTTATCAGCAATGAGCTGGTTGGAAGACTATTTCTGAAGGCAAAGCCTTTGAAAGTAATTTCAAAGTGATGCATGAAACAAAGTAAACAATGAGGGGTGGAGAGCAAAGGAAGCATCAATATTTAGAGGTGTAATCATAAAACAGAGTCTTGCTTATTTATCAAGAAACAGTTATTGCTTCAATGAACAAGCCTGAGACTGTATTCCAGGAGCTTGAAATCTGTGGAAGAAAAAGAGTCATAGGGACAGATTGCTAAACACAAAGTGACAAGCACAATAGAAGGAATACACACAGGGTGATGCAGATACAGTGGTCAGGAGGCACTTGGTAAATTGAGACTCTGGTGATTGGTAGTCTGTGGGGAACATTCTTATGGCTGTCACGCCCACTGTCACCCTTTGCTAGGAGTACCATCTACTGTTGACTCACTCAGGGAATGCTTAATTGCCAGTTGACTTCACTGAGAGCATCTAGTACTGAATTTTATTCTCATGGTGATGCATTAAAAGAGGGTAGAATTATGTTCAAACTGTGCAAGTTTATAGGTGGGGACTTTGGGAAGTGATTAGAAATAGATAAAATGATAAGGGCAGAACCCCCTCCCATATTAGATCTTGGTGGTTAGGTGAGACTCCAGGTGCACCCAAACAAATGCACATTGCCTGTCTCCTGCCATGTGATGCCCTGAGGACCATCAGCAAGGAGGCCATCGCCAGATAAGGCCCTTAGACCTTATTCTTCCAGAACTCCAAGCCCAAACTAACCTCTTTTCTCTATGACAAAGCTCATCTCAGAGGCAAGTATACCGCAAAGTGAGGATGCAGTGCAGTAGGCATCTCTACTTTTCAAAGACGGGTTCCCATTGAAGCTGTTAAATATATATATATATATATATATATATATATATACATATGTATATATATATTTAAAAGAGTTGTTTATTTTTATTGCAAAATCAGATATACAGAGAGGAGGAGAAGAGACAGAAGATTTTCCATCAATGATTCACTCCCCAAGTGACAGCAACGGCTGGTCTGCGCCAATTCGAAGCCAGGAGCCAGGAACCTCCTCAAGGTCTCCCATGTGGGTGCAGGATCCCACGGCTTTGGGCCGTCCACCACTATCCCAGGCCACAAGCAGGGAGCTGGTTGGGAAGTGGAGCTGCTGGGATTAGAACCGGCGTCCAGATAGGATCCTGGCGAGTTCAAGGCAAGGACTTTAGCTGCTAGGCCATTGCATATATCTTGACTTTTAGAATGCTGGGGTTTCTACCATTGTCTACTCCTACAATGCCTTGATACACTTAGAGGAATGATGGATTTGTGACTGTGTATAGGAGAAAATGGATTAGGGAAGACGAGATGGGGAGGTTGGAAGGTGAAATCTCTGAACCTAAGGTACTGTATTATGAAAACATTAATAAAAAATAAGCAAAGTTTGAGAAAAGAAAAAAAGAAGAAGCTTATCTCAGTCATTTGTGACTGTAATGAAAATATAGACTAGTACAAGTGCTTTCTGCATTGGTACTAACATCATTACTTTGCTATATTTGCACACCTGTCTTTCTAGCCATGTGGACTTTTTTCCCCCAGGTTCATAATTTTTATTCTGATGTTCCATTCTATCTTTTATTTCTTTTCAAATTATTATTGTTTTAAGATACAGCTCCATAGGCCTTGGGATATCCCTTACCCTCTCCCCAAGCCCTCTCCCTCCCACTGAGCTCCCCTATATCATTACTATAGTATAGTTATTCATACACAGTCATATGTCCATCATTGCAGGCATGGACAATGGCAGAGAGTCCAGCATCCTATTGTCAAGATATAGTTAGCAGTTTCATTGGGAGTCCATCTTTGTCTGGAAATAGAGATGCATACTGCATTGCATCCTCACATCTGGATATGATAGTCTCCATTACACAGTTACTATACAGCCCCTTAAATGAAAAAGCTACAATAGGGCCCAGCGGCATGGCCTAGCAGCTAAAGTCCTCACCTTGAACACACCAGAATCCCATATGGGTGCTGGTTCTAATCCCAGCAGCTCCGCTTCCCATCCAGTTCCCTGCTTGTGACCTGGGAAAGCAGTCAAGGATGGCCCAAAGCTTTGGGACCCTGCACCCGTGTGGGAGACCTGGAAGAAGTCCCTGGCTCTGGGCTTCAGATTGGCGCAGACCAGCTGTTGCGCTCACTTGGGGAGTGAATCATTGGACGGAAGATCTTCCTTTCTGTCTCTCCTCCTCTCTGTGTATCTGACTTTCCAATAAATAAGTAAGTAAATCTTAAACAAAAACAACAAAAAAGAAAAAGCCACAATACAAAATCAACAACAGGAAGAAAAATGGAAATTTACAATGCCACAAAGTTTAATAACATGCTACTGGATATGATAGTTTCCATTACACAATTACCGTACATCCCCTTAAATGAAAAGCCACAAAACAAAATCAACAACAAGAAAAAAAAAAAGAAATCAACAACAGCATGAAGTTAAATAACATGCTACTGAATGACCAAAGTGTCGCTGAAGAAATGAAAAAGAAAATGAAACAGCTTCATTAAGAAAATGATGCTACTGTATGATCTATGAATCAGTGAAGAATTTAATGAGAAACTGTTTTGAAGAGATAAAACTAAAAAAACAAAACATCAAAATGCATGATATATATTTTTCACTGATCTTTGTTGGTGAGAGGTATATTTTGTAGGCAACAAATAGATGGGTGTTGTTTTTAAATCCAGTCTACTAATCTGTGACCTTTGATTGATGAGTTTAAGCCATTTACATGCAGGGTTAATATGAATGGATGGTAATTTGGTCCTGTCATTTTAGCAATGGGCTGTTCATTGATTTGGTCTTCTGTTGTTATTTTACTGGGATGTTCCTTGCATTTGCCTTTGGTTTTGGTGGGTACTATTCCACTTCTCTGTCAAGAGAACACCTTTGAGTATCATTTGTAGGGCAGGTTTGGAAGAGGCATATTCTTTCAACTTTTCTTGACTGTGGAAGAATTTTATTTCATTTTCAAAGACTAAGGATGTTTTGCTGGATATGTCATCCTGGGCCAACAATTTTTTTCTTTTAAAATCTGGAATATGTTTCTCCATTCTCTTCTTGCCTGTAGAGCTTCTTGTGAGAGGTCTCCTGTGAATTTAATTGTCATTCCCATACATGTCAATTGATTTTTTTCATGTGCACATTTAAAGATCTTTTCCTTATGTTCTATGGAAGAGAGCTTGATTACTATGTGTTGTGAAGATCGCTTATGTTCATCCCTCCTGGGAGTTCTGTGCCCCTCCTGGATGTTGTTTCTCAATTCTTTCTCTAGACAAGGTAAAATTTGACTTGTTATTTCACCAAATAAATTTTTAAACCCAGCTTCTCTTTCTGTAACTTCTGGGACTCCTGTAACTCTTATATTTGGCCTTTAAATAATGTCTTTCAATTCTTCAATATTTCTTTAGCTTGACTCAGCTCTACTTCCAGCTTTTTGTTTGTTTTCCCTTGGTGAAAGGAAATATTTTCCAATTCCGAGATTCTTTCTTCTGCTTGTTTCACTCTATTTTGGAGACTCTCCACTGTGCTTTTATGTTATCATATTTTATTTTTTTCAATAATGATTACATGGTTGATCAGTGTGGGAAGGATCAAAATTTAGGGAAAATTGGATGAATTAATTGCTTCCAAATTTGCTATTTCCTCTTGTTGTTCCTGGGGCAAGGGGAGAAGCATAGGGGGAAACCACTCATGTCTTTTCACATGTACCAGTATCCAGGAATAAAGATACCTTATATCAAATCAGAGTCTCAATGTGTACATATTCCAAGGGTTCTGTACAAGTGGTTTGGATAGTTCTGAAATGCTGCTGTTCTCACCGATCAAAGATTGATGTCACTCTCCCAGTGTCCATTGGCTCCATTCACCTAGATTTTTCTGCTGTCATCATTTGTTTGGGGTAGTTATCTAGTTAGTTCTGTTCTTCTATAGCACCAAATATGTTGCCGCATTCTTTTTTTTTTTTTTTAACAGCAGAGTCTGTGTCCACTGCTCTACCCTTTTCATTAAGTAGGGCATGTTCTTGCAGGCAAGTCTAAGTACCTGGGCCAGGTGTCCCAAGCATCACCATATCTTCCACCCCTGGGGCTCATGAACCCAGCATCCACCTAGTAGTCAGGCTCCAGGACCCGGGACAAAAGCACCTCCAAATCTACCACCCCTGGGGCTCACAAACCCGACACCCACCTAGTAGGCAAGTCCTGGGGTCTGGCTCAATTGACCCACACCTCACCAGTTCTCTCTGTCCCCGGAGCTCAGGACCCATCCCTCACCACACAGGGGACCCATGACCTGAGCCAAGCTACCCAAGCCCTATCAGATCCCCCATCCCTGGCACTTATGTAACTGGCCTCCTCAACAAAGCTTGTTGATAAGAAGCTTTATCACAAGTATTTTGAATTCTCCCATTTTCTCTATGTACTCCTCAGTTAACTCTGAGGTTGGCAAAGGTGTTTGCTCCTTTTCAGGGGAGTCTTCAGTGATATTCATTGTGCCTTTGTCTCTTTTTTTACTCTTGGTCATTGTACTTCTGGTTATCAGATTCTTCTCCTTGGGGCAGGTTTCTAAGCTCTGTCACCCACAGGTCTGCAATTCAATTTTTCTTATTGCAGTTGGTACACAGCTCTTTGTTGCAGTCACTTGTGCCACTTCCTCTAGTGAGTTCCAGGTCTAGGTTCTTATGTTAGATTTCCACCATGGCCTCCATATCCC